CGAGGTCCAGCGCGGCCCGCGACGCGCCGCGGCCGGAAGCGGCCGCGGCCTCGAACTCCGTGCGCTTGGACCCCCGGGGCCCCGCGGTGTTCCGCGTCGCCTCGACCGCGTGGACCTGCGCGGACCTCGAATCTTCCACCCGACTTCAAGGTGCGCGCATGCGACCGTTTCGACGCGAGCTCTTCGGCCGTGCTTCGAGAGCCATCGATTCGTCCAAACATCAGCTGAATCGACGTCGACGTGACCGAGCTCGAGAAGTTTTCGCCGGACGGGGCGGTCCGCCGGTCGATTTCCACGCAGGCGCGGACCTTCTTCAGCTTGCCGCAGACGCACAGCCCAAAGGTCGCGGCGTTGACGTCGAGGCGGAACGTGTCGCAGGCGTCCGGGTCCGCGTCCTCGGCGACGACGCAGAACGACGCGCGGCTGCCCGAGGAACTCGCGCGGCGGCGCGACGTGCTGAGGTCGTGCGCGGCCTTCGGCAGACCGCAGACGCAGGTCCCGAAGACCTCGGCGGCGACGTCCACGGTGTAGTCGTCGCAGGCGTCGGCGTGCGCGACGGCCGCGGCCCGCTCGAGCGTCTCGCCGAAGGCCTTGGCGCCGTCGACCTTGGCGCGGCTCGCGGCGCTGTGTTCTTTTTGTGGGAAGCCGCAGACGCAGAGGCCGAAGGTGTCCGCCGTGACGTCGACCTTGAAGCTCTCGCAGGGCACGCAGGCCGCGGCGGTCTCGTCCGGGCCCGGCGACGCCGCGACGATCGGCGGCGACGCCTGGGGCCGCGGCGGCGGGGACGGCGGCTCCGGCTCCGGCGCCTTCGGCGGCGCCGCCGGCGTCTCCACCTGGAAGATGTCCGGCTCCGCGCGCGCGGGCGACGCCGCGCCGCCGGCCTCCTTGCTCGGGCCGCAGCCCATGCGCAATCACAGAACCAAGGTTCGCGCAACAAGGCGATCGGGGCAGCTTCGATCGTGCATTGTGCATCGCGAGGGCTCGATCAGCCTCGATGATGTCCTTGAAGTCTCGATGCCGGCAATCCCAGCTTCGTCATCGCGGCGCAATGATGATGCTAGCGTCGCGCACGCGGCACGTGCTCGGCCGGCGCGCCGGCGCGTACTGCATCCGGCACCTCTCGAGCAGCGACGCGCTCAGGGCGAAGATCCTCGACGCCGCCGTCAAGCACGTCCCGGCGCTGGGCTGGTCCGACGACGCCCTGGCCATGGGCGCCAAGGACGCGGGCGTCTCCGCCGCGGCGCACGGCCAGCTGACGCGCGGCGCCGTGGACCTCGTCGAGCACGTCGCGTCGGCCTGCGCCGACGACCTCCACGCCGAGATCAACGCGCGTCGCGCCGCGCCCGCTCCCGAGAACCCCCAAAAAAACGCCGACGCCCGCCGCAGGAGCGCGCGGACGAGTTCGCCGCGGCGCCCGGCTTCTCCGCGCGGCTCCAGCTCGCCATCGAAGCGCGGCGGGGACCGGCGTCTCTTGTTTGTCCGTCGCGACGTTCCACTCGAAATCTACTCGAATAGGCTGAAGCTCTCGCTGCCGTACCACGAGCACCGGGCCCAGGCCATGGGGCTCATGGCGACGCCGTCGTCGGAGTCGGCCTTCCCGCCGGACATCGCGGCGATCCCGGCGCTCGGGCGCGTCGCCGACGAGCTCGCGCGCGCGACCTTGGTCGCGGGCGAGCCGATGGACGACCGCCGCTGGCTCTGGCGGCGGTCGGCGGCCGCGGGCTCCTACGCCATCGCCGAGATCCGCGCGCTCTCCGACGGCTCCCCGGACCTCGGCGACACGGTGGCCTTCTCCGCGGCCATCGTCGACCGCTTCGGCGACGCGCTCGACACGCCCGACCAGATGAAGGACGGGCTCCGCGCGGGCGCGCACGCGGCCGCGTCGCTGGGCACGGCGGCCCTGTCCTTCCTCCCGGGCAAGGCCGTCGGGGCGCTGCCCCAGCTCGTCATGATCATGGCGTCGCGGTCCGCGGGCGGCCTCGCGGGCCTCGCGGAGAAGGGCCTCTCGAAGCTCCTCAAGTTGCTCCCGCCGTCGCCCATCCCGGACCCGCCGAAGAAGCCGGCGCCGGCGGAGGCGCCGGCGGCGCCGGAGCCCTAGGGGGGGCGCGCGCGTACATAACATCGCGTTCACACAACCGCGCTTACGGGGCCTTCAGGCGAGCCGCTTCGGCCGCGTCGGCCGCTCCGACGCGTAGAGGTCCGCGAGGGGGCCGCGCGTCTGCTTCCGCTTGACGGAGACCCAGAGCTTGCGGAGCCGCGCGCGGCTCTCCGGCGACCGCGCGCCGGAAGCGGTCGCGTCGCCGGCCCCGGAGAAGCCCTCGGCGAGCTTGCGCACGGCGTCGGCCTTGCGGTCGTTCTGCCGTTGCCGCTTCGTCTTCCTGCGGCCCCGGCGGCCCGCGTGGAGCTTGTAGAACCAGACGGAGATGGCGCCGACGGCGACCATGTAGACGAGGAAGAGGAGCACGGGGCCCTTCAGGTGCTCGAAGGTGATGTGCCGCAGGGCGTCCTCGATGAAGGACGTACTGTCGTGCCGGTCGTCCTCCGCGCCCTCGAACCAGTCCATCTCGTAGTCGTCGGGGTCCATGGGCAGCGCGCCTCCGCGGGAGCGTCCCAGCGCGCTTGGTGGTGGTGGAAGTAGCCAAGATACGGTGACGTTCAAGTTGCACCCGAAGGCCCCCTCCTCTCGGGAGACCAGGTCCCCGCGCGCGGCCCCCCGCCGGAACGGAGACTGCGAATTTTAAACGGGGGCGCCCACCGCCGCCGGAGCGCTACTCCGGCGGCGGGAGCTTCGAGAGGAGGTCCGGCGGCGCGTCCGTCCACTCGTGGTAGCCGCGCTGGAGCCACTTCGTCGGGACGCCCTGGAGCTGGATGAAGCAGCCCTGGGACACGGCGTGGGGGTTCTTCTTCCGCACCTCCTTCATCTTGCGCAGGATCGCGGCCTGGACGAGCTGCGCCGCGTAGGGCGGCGGCCCGTCGTCGTCGGGCTCGGGCCCGACGTAGTCGAGGCGCAGGAGGCCCTTGAACTCGGCCTGGGACCGCACGGCCTTGTTCGCGCGCGCGTTCGTCTGCGAGAAGCTGCGCGCCAGCCGCGGCAGCGACCGCTTCGCGTAGATCGGCGTCTCCGGCTTCCTCCCGGCCGCGCGCCGCGCGGTCTGCCCCCGGCCGATGGCCTCCATGGTCAGCGGCATGGACCAGGGGTCGTTGGGGAACGTCTTCGTGTGGCTGAACTCGTCCTGGCGCTTCATGGCCCCGAGGTCCGGCATCTCCAGCGGGTTGCGCAGCCCCGCGTGGGGGGACCGCTGCGACGACCCGAGGGGCGGCGCCACGGCCGACACCGCGAGCGACCCCTGCCGCTGGTACGTCGCCGTCTCCGGCGCGAGGTACGCGAGCGACATCGCGCGGCCGCGGGCGCTCGGGGCCCGGCGCGCGGGGCAGCCCCGGCAGCGCCCGGCGCGGACTCCTCCGGAGGTTTTTGGCTACTTTGAGGGAAACATTACAGAGGTTGAAGCGATTCTAGCACACGCCGCACTCACGCCGCGGGGCACTCTCGGGGCTGGGGGCAGCGCCCGGCGCGGCCGAGGAGGCGTTTTTGGCTACTTTGAGGGAAACATGGCAAAGTTGAAGCGCTTCTATAACGTAAATGCGACGTGCGGAAGCTCGTGCGGATCCTGGAAGGGCCCGGTGACGTCTGGCACCCAGGGGGGCGGCCCGGGGGCGGACGTGTCCACGAGGGGCAGGAGCTGCGCGTCGCTCCCGGCGACGACGCCGACGACGGGCACGAGCGCCTCGCCCTTCCGGAGCCGGCGCCGCAGGCTATGCTCGGAGAGGCCGATGTAGCCGTTGCGGTCGAGGCGCGTGGCGATGGATATGTAGTGCGTGTCGAGGTCGACTCGCACGTCGACCCAGCCGTCGGGCCCCGGGCCCCAGCGATTCGGGATGCCCTCGGCGCCCCCGCCCGTGGCGCTGGAAATGTAGCCGTGGCTGGAGATGAGGATGGCGTCGTCGCTGGAGAGGGTTGCGGCCCCGTCGTCGAAAACGCGCGCGACCGCCAGGCCGACGTACGCGCGGCCGGCGCCGAGCACGGCGCCGAACGCCACTCGGAAGCGCCGCCGCGACCGCGTCAACACATCGCCCCGCGCCCAGCGCGTGCCCGCGGCGCCGCCGGCGAGAAACGCCGGGCCGTCGTCGAGGTCTGCGTAGGAGACCGACGTCGCGTTGGGGCGGAAGAGGAGCGGGTACCCCGCGTCCGTCCGTCGGTACGCCTCGACGTCGCGCTGGCCGGCGAAGGGGAAGCGCGCCTCGACGAGGGCGGCCCAGACGGGCGCCCAGTCGAAGGCGCGGAGCGCGCGGCACGCGCGCCGCAGCTTGCCGACGGCGGCCGCGCCGCCGCACGCGCCGACGGCCGGCAGCAGCGACGACGCCGCGATCGCGCCGAGCGCGCCGGGGACGGGCGCCGCGGCCGCCGGCGCGGCCGCGGCCGCGTGCGCCGACAGGTAGCGCGCGACGCCCGTGCGCGAGCGCACGGCGCGGCCGCCGGCGGGCGGCTGCCAGGTCTGGTAGCGGCCGCCGGCCTGGGCGCCGCTGCGCCGCTCGAAGCGCCGCACGGTCCAGCCGGCGGCGGTCAGGGCCTCGTCGTCGTGCTCCATGGGTGCTGTCGTGGCGTCGCGCGCAAGCAGCGAGTCGCTCGCGTCAAGCCCTAGGACCCGGAACGCAAAGGCCCATGCCCAATTGGCCAAATTTGCCACTTCAAGAAAGCGACCGAAGCGAGGCATGGAGTGCTGAGTGCTGCCTCTAGGCGCACGATGGACGAGCTCTCCACGCTCGTCGAGTGGTACGCAACAATACCAAAGACACAAGAAACACCGGCACAAATTGCAAACATCCTCGCGACGCCGACGGCGGCCTGGGCCGAGGACGCCGGCCTCGACGCGGCGCGGCGCGCTGACGGCGCATTGCGCGTCGCGGCGCAGGGCGCGTGCCTCGCGCCGTTCTGGGTGGCCAAGTACGAGCGCGAATCCGCCGGCGCCTGGCACGCGTTCTACAAGCGCAACGCGGACAAGGCCTACAAGGACCGCCACTATTTGGACGACGAGTGGTCGGAGGCGTTCGCCGCGGACTCGGGCCTCGTCGTCGAGGTCGGCTGCGGCGTCGGCAACGCCCTGTTCCCCGTGCTCGCGTCGCACCCGCGCTGGCGCGGCGTCGCCGTCGACTTCGCCGCGAGCGCGATCGACCTGCTGCGGAAGCGGCCGGACTACGACTCGGCAAGAGTAATGGCGGCGACGCGCGACGTCGTCCGCGACGAGCTGCCCGTCGCGGACGGCGCCGCGGACGTCGTCACGTGCCTCTTCGTGCTGTCGGCCCTCGCGCCGGAGACCATGGCGGCCGTCGCGGGGAAGCTCGCGCGAAAGCTCCGGCCGGGCGGGTCGCTGCTCTTCCGCGACTACGGCCGCTACGACGAGGCGCAGCTGCGCTTCAAGAAAGGCCACCGCCTCGGCGACAACTTTTACGTCAAGCAGGACGCGACGCGCTGCTTCTACTTCGATTTGGACGACGCCGCGGCCGTCTTCGCCGCGGACTTTGAGCGCCGAGACCTCCGCTTCGTCTGCCAGCAGCACGCGAACCGCGCGCAGCAGAAGCGGCGGCGGCGCGTCTTCGTCCAGGGCCACTTCATAAGGCGGGCTTAGTCCTTGGGCGGGAGGGACCCGAGGCGCTCGGGGTCCATGGACGGGTAGACGTGGTGGGGCGCGCGGACCTTCTTGAGCGGCGGCTCGTCGGCACCGTCGGCCGCGGGCCGCGGCGGCGGCGGCGGGAAGTGCTTGAGCGCCTCCGCGAGCTCGCCGCGGAGGGGCTTGGCCTTCTCGCCCGGCGCGAGGCCCGGCGGCGGGAGCGCCGCGGCGGCGCCGCCGCCGCCGGAGGACGCCGCGCCGCCGCCCCGGGGCCGCGCCCAGTCGACGGCCAGGTCCTTGCCGCGGACCTGGAGGTTGCGGAACTTGCCGTCCGCGGCGGCCTCGGCGGCCTCGCGCGTCGCGAATTCGACGAAGCCGCAGCCGCTGCCCGCGAGGCGCACGGACTTGATCTCGCCGTAGGCGTAGAAGGCGTCGACGAGGTCGCTCTCGGCGACGCCGTCCGTGCCGCCGATCCAGAGCGTCGTCACCGTCTCGTCGTCGGGGGGTGTGATGGTCCGCGCCTCGCGCGCGCGGTTGACGTAGCGGCCGGAGACGTCGTCCTTGCCCATGACGCGCTTGCGGATGGCCTCGTCCTTGTTGCCCGAGATGGCCTCCTTGATCGCCTGGCGCACGTCGACGGGGCACGAGATCATGACGGCCGCCGCGCCGTTCTCCCGCAGATCGTCGACGAGCGCCGCGCACTCCGTCGGCATCCTCGCGGCGAGCTCCGGGAACTTGTAGAGGCCGCAGCAGGGGCGGAAGGGGCAGGTGCCGCGGGCCTTGCCCTTGCCCACGCGCGTGCACGTGCCCGCGAGCCAGAAGGAGCAGATCTTCGGCAGATTGCGGAACGCGGTGCCGCCCCGCGCGTTCGCGGCCTCGATGCTCCGCGCGAGCGTGAGGAGCTCGCGCGACGGCTCGAGCTGCTGGATGGCGGCGGACCCCTCGCCGTTGTCGATGGCGCGGCGCTGCTGCGCGTAGAAGTGGGCCTGGTTCGCGTTCGACTTCGCCGCCGCGTAGCCGCCGACGGCGTCCGCGCCGCCGGCCTTGAGCAGCGCGTCGCGCACGCCCACGGGCACCCCAAAGGTCATGTCCGTGAGGCACGCCTGGCAGATGTTCTTCTCCACGGCGACCTCGCGGCAGACGATCGTCTCCTTGAACCGGCCCTGCGGGCCCGCCTTCCACCGGAACGACTGCATCGGCGCGCTCGAGATCTTGCAGAGCTTCTCCCCGAAGCGCTGCTTGATCATGCGCACGTAGGGGTTCGGCCCCAGGCACGTCTCGCAGACGATGGGGAAGTCGTTGCCCACCTGGAGCTCCTTGCGCTGGCCGGGCGTCCCGTCGTCGCGGGCGCCGCCGGCGACGGCCGTGGCGAGGTACTGGTCCACGCCCAGGGCGGGGCGGTAGCCGCCCGACGCCATGAAGCGGGCGGTTGGGGGGCGCGGGGCGGGCGCGGGGGCGCGCGGGCGACGCTCGAGCTGGTCGGAGGAGCTCAGCTCTTCGCCGCCTCGATCACCTCGATCGAGCGCCAGCGCCAGTGGCAACGCAGCCCACCTGCGCCGACGAGGCGCGCACGCTCGCAGCGATGCGCCTCGCGGTCGCATTAGTGCTCGCCGGCGCCCGCGCGAGCACCGAGTTCTGGCTGCGGCGACCGCGGGCGCCGGCGCTGCAGCGCTTCATGGCCAAGCACGCGGCCTGCGAGCCCAACGCCGCGGCGCTCGCCGCGCTGACGCTGCCGGGCGCCGCCGGCGCGGCGCTCCCGCGCGGCTTCCACGCGCGGAAACGGAGCCGGCGCGTCGCCGGCGGCGACTTCGCGGCCGCGAGCGCCGCGGTGCTCGGCTGGCGCGGCGACGCCGCCGCGGCGCCGTGCTTCGTCGCGCGCGGCGCGGGCGGCGCGATGGCGACCGTCGCGCGCACCTACGGGCGGGTCGCGTGGGTCGTGAACCCCGTGCGCGAGACCTACGCGGTCTCCGCAACCCGAAAACCGCCGGCGGCCGGCGAGCCGGACTGGCGGCGGCTGCCGGCCGGCGACGCGTACTGCGCCGCGGCCTACACGACGCTCGGCCGCCACCTCCTCGCGGGCGAGGAGCGCCTCGCCGTCGTCAGGGACGGCGGCGACGTCGTCGTCCACATCCTCTCCGCGAGCCGCGGCAACGGGTTTCTTGGCGCGCTCGTCTTCCCATTCGTCGGGCCCATGCAGCGCAAGTTCTTCGACGTGCAGCTCGACGCCGTCGAGGCCGCGGCGCTCGGACGATAACGCTGACTTTACGCATTGTCTCGCCTGTTCGCACTCGGACGATAGCACTGTAGTTTAGCTTACGCGTCGTCTCGGCTGTTCGAGAAGACCCACGCGGCCGCGACGACGGCCTGGACGGCGAGCGCGTTCGGCAGCGAGGCGCCGCCGTAGGCCGCGGCCGCCGCGCCGGCGCCCGCGCACTCGATGGCGCCGTACTGCACGAGCCCCGCGTCGGCGACGCGGCCGCCGACCCGGGCGCAGGCGTAGGCCGCGGGCCCGCTCAGGCACCAGAGCAGGGCGAAGGCCTGGCCCAGGGCCGGCAGCTCGTAGAAGGGCGGCGCGCCCGCGAGCGTCAGAAGGTCGCTGGGCCCGGCGAGGCAGTCCGCCGCGTGCGCGACGCCGGCCACGCCGTAGAGCGCGCCCATGAGGTCGCGGAACTTGTCGATCTTCGGCGTCGTATCGACCTAGGCGGTGATGATGACGGCGGGAGACGGTTTCATTGATAACCACGGCGGGAGACGGTTTCATGGACGCCGACGACGTACGGCCGATTGCAACAGCACGTTCAGCGCCAAGAAGTTGTCCACCACCAGCACGGGCGCCGCGAGCGTCGCCAGCAGGCCCGCCGGCTCGTAGGACATCTCGAGGTCCACGACGGCGCCGTCGGCGTCGTCGCGCACGTCGAAGAGCATGCGGCAGTCGCTCGCGACGCCCTCCAGTCCGTCCGGCGACCGCACGTCGAGCACGCCCGAGCGCTCGTCGGCCGCCGCGCAGGTCCACGTGACGCTCAGCGGCAGGATCGGCGGCAGCCCGAAGAGCTCGTCGACGGACGCGCCGCGCGTGAGCGGCTTTTGCGTCGTCGGACCTTCGACGCCGACGGACGAGGCGACGACGTCGGGCCAGTTCGCCGGCGTCGCCAAAAACCGGTGCAGATCGACGGCAGTCATGCCCGCGACCCTGCCGCGCGTCGTCAGCGTGATGGCGCCGGCCATTTGGCATGTGAGGAGCGCTGCGATTGCTCGAGCCATGCTGCACGTTCGAGGCCGAGACATGGCGATCGTCAGCAGTGCGCTGGTCGCCGTGCACGCTCTCGAAACTGGCGGCGGTGGTGGCCGACAAGATGCTCTCCCTGGACGGCCAGCGCAGGCGCTTTATTGCCACTTCAAGAACAGCGATTGTAAAAAAGCCAGCCAGTTATGGCGGCGCCGAATGAGTCGAATCTCCCAAACCGAGCGCGACAAACACCGCTGCGCCTCGCCGACATCAGCTTGATAAACGTCGTATTGCTGCCGTTCCGGTTCGCTGGCGCGATCGGCCTCTTCTGCTATGCGCTGACCCTCGCGTTCAGCCATGTGGTCCTCCTCAAGGTCGCGCCGGTCTGCGCGGACCGCTACTTCTTCGCATGCTGCCAGCGGTCGTCCTACGTCTTCCTGCGCGTGCTCGGCTTCGAGGTCGTCGTCGACGGGCTTCAACACCGACGGCACGACGCGCTTTCGCACCATCGATACGTCGTCGTCGCGAACCACGTCGCCGTCTACGACCCCTGGGCGCTCATGGCCGCGCTCGGCCCGCTGGCCTTCGTCGCGCGGCGGTCGCTCTTCGAGTTCCCCGTCGTCGGCGCCGTGCTGCGCGCGCTCGACGCCGTCGCCGTCGACCGGCGGCGGCGGGGCGACGCCGGCGGCGCGCGCGACGCGATCGCGGGCCGCCTCCGGGGCGCGGACACGCCCAAGTGGCCCCTGCTCGTCTTCCCCGAGGGCGCGACGACGAACGGCCGCGGGGTGATCCAGTTCAAGACGGGCGCGTTCGCGCCGCTCGCGCCGGTGCTGCCCGTTTGCTTGCGGTACGCGTGCGCGTCGGGCTTCGACGCGTCCTACACGGACAACCAGATGAGCGCGGGCGCCGTGCTGTTCCACTTTCTACGCGTGCTGCTCGAGCGCGGGAAGCGCGTCACCGTGACCGTGCTGCCGGCCGCGGCGCCCGGGCACGGCGCGACGGCCGCGGACTTCGCCGCCGCGGCGCGCGCGGCGATCCTCGGCGCGCTGCCGGACGGCGCGGACTGGGCCGACTGGGACAACGCGCGGCTCCGCCGGGAGTGGTACGGGGAGGACGCGGCTAAGGTCGACTAGAGAGTGGTCCAACAATGGCTTCTAAGTTCAAGGTGGCGGCAAGGGCCTCGCGACCCAGTTTCTGAGCATCTCTGTGGCGAGCACCGCCGTCTTGTGGATCCGAGCACGCGATGGCCCCCAAGGAGGAAGCGACGACGGGCCTGAAGCCTCTCTACGACCCCATCGGCAGCCACGGCGCCCTGCCCGGCGGCATGAAGCAGTACGAGGAGATGTACGCGCGGTCCGTCGGCGAGGCGACCAAGGACGCCTTCTGGGCCGAGCAGGCCAACGCCTTCCTCGAGTGGATGCGGCCCTTCGACACGGTGCGCCAGGGCGGCTTCGAGGTCGGCGACCAGGCCTGGTTCGTCGGCGGGCGCCTCAACGTGTCGTCGAACTGCCTCGACAAGCACCTCGCGGCCAAGGCCGACAAACCGTGCATCGTCTGGGAGGCCGACGAGCCCGGCCAGGCGAAGACGCTGACGTACCTCGACGTCTTCCACGGCACGTGCCGCATCGCCAACGCCCTCAAGGTCACGGGCGTCGCCAAGGGCGACTTCGTCACCGTCTACATGCCGATGATGCCCGACACGGCGATGGCGATGCTCGCGTGCACGCGCCTCGGCGCGCCCCACAGCGTCGTCTTCGCGGGCTTCACGGCGGGGAGCCTGCGGGACCGCATCGTCGACAGCGCGTCCAAGTGGGTGCTCACGGCCGACGTCGGCAAGCGCGGGTCCAAGTCGATCAAGCTCAAGGCGATCACGGACGCGGCCGTCGCGGAATGTCCTCTCGTGCAGAAGGTCTTCGTCTTCAAGCGCACGGGCGAGGACGGCATCGCCTACACGGCGGGCCGCGACGTCCACATGGACGAGCTCGTGCCGAAGATGCGGCCCTACTGCCCCGCGGAGCCCATGGCGGGGCAGGACAAGAGAGCGAAATTCCAAACTTCAAAGCCTCATATCTCGGCCGTTTTCCACTCGTTTTGGCTGATTTTTGGACGAGCGATCATCTCTTGGAACGGTCTCGAAGCGTGGATGTGTTGTTCGTAACGCGCGCGCGCGGAACACTCACGTTGAAGCGACGTTGAATCACCCCTGTGCTGCCCAGGCCCATGGACGCCGAGGACACGCTCTTCACGCTCTACACGAGCGGTTCCACGGGCAAGCCCAAGGGCGTCGCCCACGCGACGGCGGGCTACCTGCTGTACGCGGCGATGACGACGAAGTACAGCTTCGACCTGCGCGACGACGACGTCTTCGCGTGCGTCGCGGACGTCGGCTGGATCACGGGCCACAGTTACATCGTCTACGGCCCCCTCTGCAACGGCGCGACGACGGTCATGTTCGAGTCCATCCCGACCTACCCGGACCCGGGCCGCTACTGGGACATGGTCGCGGCCCACAAGATCACGGTCTTCTACACCGCGCCGACGGCCATCCGCGCGTTGATGGCCTACGGCGACGCGCACGTCAAGAAGCACGACCGGTCGTCGCTGCGCATCCTCGGCTCCGTGGGCGAGCCCATCAACCCCGAGGCCTGGCGCTGGTACTTCGAGGTCGTCGGCGACTCGCGCTGCTCCGTCGCGGACACGTACTGGCAGACGGAGACGGGCGGCCACATCATGACGCCGCTACCGGGAGTGACGCCCGTGAAGCCCGGGAGTTGCTGCCTGCCCTTTTTCGGCGTCGCGCCCCTCATCGTCGACGCCCAGTCCGGCGCCGTCCAGGAGGGGAACGGCGTCGACGGCGTGCTCTGCGTCTCCGCGCCCTGGCCGGGCGCGTGCCGCACGGTCTGGGGCGACCACGAGCGCTACATGGCGACGTACCTCGACTGCTACAAGCCCAACTACTTCACGGGCGACGGCTGCAAGCGCGACGCCGACGGCTACTACTGGATCACGGGCCGCGTCGACGACGTGCTCAACACGTCCGGCCACCGCATCGGCACGGCGGAAGTCGAGTCCGCGCTCGTCGCGCACGCGGCCGTCGCGCAGGCCGCGACGATCGGCTACCCGCACGACATCAAGGGCCAGGGCATCTGCTGCTACCTCGAGCTCACCAAGGGCTTCGAGGAGTCGCCGGAGCTCATCAAGGAGCTCAAGGGCGCCGTCCGCGCGGCCATCGGGCCCTTCGCGACGCCGGACCTCCTCATCCCCGTCGCGGGCCTCCCGAAGACGCGCAGCGGCAAGATCATGCGCCGCATCCTCCGCAAGGTCGCCGCCGCCGAGGAGGACCAGCTCGGCGACGTCACGACGCTCGCGGACCCGTCCGTCGTCCCGCTCCTCATCGCCAAGGTCAAGAAGGCCCAGGGCCGCGACTAGGTTCCGGCGCGCCCCACTCCCCCCCCCCTCCCCGTTCCCCCGGCGCGTGTGCCCGCCGGGACGCGCTTAACGACGTTCCCCGAATGGGTGCCCGCTGCCGGGAGACGGGGGGCGTCGTCCCCCGAGAACGCTACGCTACGCTCCATTTAGCCGGTCCCCGAGCCTCCCGGCCGCGGCCCTGATCCAGGCGACGTCGCGCGGCACGAGGGCCCGCTTCCGGTCGCAGCCGACGACGACGGCGCCCGCGCCGTCGCCGAAGGGCTGGATGAGGGCGCTCTGCGTGTTCCTCGGCAGGTAGGAGAAGTCGACGCGCGCCGGCACGGCCTGGAGGTCCGGCACGTACGTCGCGGCGCCGCCCGCCTTGGCCAGCGCCTCGCGGAACGTCACGGCGTCGGCGTCGACGGCGTTGGCCTTGCCTAGGACGCCCAGGCGCAGGATCGTCGACCCCTCGTGCCAGAGGAAGACGGCCTTGACGGGCGCGCACGACTCGAGGATCGCCTCCGAGGCCCACGTCGCGCCGGCGAGCGCGTCGCCCGCGAGCTCCTTGGACACGCCCCGGCCCTTGACGCCCTTGAGCTCGACGACCTCGGCCTCGCGCGCCTCGATGTCGGCCATGCTCAGCCCGTCGAGCACGAGGCCCACGGTCGCCGCGACGGCCAGCAGGTCCGCCTGCGACTGGTCGCCGTAGGCGAGCTCGCCGGCGACGAAGATCCGATTCAGCACGATGAGCCCGAGGCCGGCGAGGCCGCCGTAGATGCGCGCGTCCGACGGCGCGACGCGGAGCGCCGTCGCCCGCCGCCGCGGCGGCGCCGCGGCGCGCCGCGGCGGCGCGAACGCGGCCGCGGCGGCGACGAGCGCGAGCAGCGCGCCTAAGAGGTGGGCATGTCCGGCGCCAGAATTCCGTCGCCGCGCATGGCGTGACCGAACGCGCGCTTCTCAGCGCGCGCCGCTCGGGCCGCGGCCTGGACTCAACAGGCCTCCGGCGGTGGGTCTCGCGAGAACTAGTAGGGAGGTTGGGCGTGGGAGTGGGGCCACCTCCCGTCGCAAGAATGTCTCGCTCTCGAAGTTTTTGGGTTGCGGACGCGGGCGCGCGGACGTCGGAGCGGCGATTTTGGGCGGCGTGTGGCAGCCATAGCTCTTGCGGCAACAGCCAAAGTTTCGGCGACGATGCTGATCAGCTGAGCTGGCCCTTCGAACATCCACCTCGACGCCGCCGCCGCCAACACGCGCCACCACCGCACCGCCGCAATGAAGCTCGTCCTTGCTCTCCTGCCCGCCGCCGCCACGGCCTTCGCGCCGCCGGCGGCGCTGCGCGCGCAATCGCTCTCCCTGGCGGCCGCCGTCGCCGAGGAGGTGACGGTGGACGCCGCCGCCGACGTGTCGGAGCCGTCGCCCAAGGAGGAGCTCCTCAGCGTCGTCGGCACGGCCGTCGGCGACGTGAGCAGCGACCTGCGCGCGTCGGTCACGGAGCTGCTCCTGAGCCTCGAGCCGGCGAATCCCACGGAGGACCCCGCGACGAGCCCCTTGCTCAACGGCGTGTGGGACGTCGCGTTCTCGGGCTACGCGCCGGGCCCGCTCAACTCGCCGACGCGGCCCCTCGCGCTGGCGCTCTACGCCGGCGGCTTCACGCCGGGCGTCGCGGGCCTGAGCGTGTTGCGCATGCTCCCCGACGGCCTCGCGGACGTCGGCGACCTCACGATCACGATCAGCCGCGACCAGCCGCGCGTCGAGGCGTCCACGTCCGTGACCTTCGCCGGCGTCGGCGCCCAGGAGCTCAAGGTCGCGACGACGCTGGAGGCGGAGACGGGCGTGCGCCTCAAGGAGACCTACGCGAGCCTCAGCTCCTTCGGCCGCGACGTCGACGTTCCCGCGAACCTCCGCTACGAGCGCACGCTCTACGTCACCTACCTCGACGACGAGCTCCTCGTCTGCCGCGACGACTCGGGCGTGCCCGAGGTCCTCCTCCGCAAGGGCTCCCCCGAGGGCGCGCCCGCGTCCGGCGACGAGGACGTCCCCGACGTCGTCGAGGACGACGACGACGTGCCCGACGTCGTCGAGCCCGAGGCGTCCGAGGAGGCGTAGGCGACGCAAACCCCATCGCGCCTCCTAAGGCTCCGATGCACGTCACGCCTTACTGTAGACCAAGATCTCCGTCCGCGCGTCGTCCGGGTCCGGGCACGGCACGGCGGTCGCAGCGTAGGACAGGGACGACGCGAAGCCGCTGGCCCGGAGCGCCGCGACGGCGACGCGCCGCGGCGCCGGCGCCCCGTCGACGGCGCCGACGGCGGCGCCGAGCGTCGCCTCCGCGCACGCCGGCGCGAGCGGCTTGCTCCGCCACCAGTTCACCAGAAGCGTCGCCCGCAGGCCCCGGTCGTCGGCCGCGGGCTGGACGCCGTGGAGCTTGCGCCCCGGGAAGACGAGGAAGCGGCCGGGCGCCGGGGGCACGTAGGCCGCGCGCGGCGGCGCGGGCCCGTCGAGCGCGCCGTCGTCGACCGTCGGCCCCGTCTCGCGGTCGACGACCCACGTGGGCCCGCCGACGTCGCTCAGGTAGACCACGGACGATACCACGGGCGACCTGGCGACCTTGGTCCGCCGCGCGGCCTCGACGTCGAGGTCGTAGTGGGCCGCGACGCCCTTTTTCGGGTGCTGCTGTCGGATCCAAAATTCGCAGCCCGCGAGGTCGCGCAGGTCGCCGGCGCCGAGCGCGTCGGCGCCCGCCGCCGCGAGGGGCCGCAGCGCCGCCAGGACGCGCTCGACGGCCGTTTTTGGCGTTTGTATAGCGCTCGCGGGCACCCAGAACGAGGTGACGCCGGCGGAGTTTTCCGCTAAATACTCCTGGTGCGCGGGCGCCTCCGCGCGCACGCGCGCCACGAGCGCCGCGGGCAGGGCGTCGTCCCAGGCGACGGCGAGCGGCGGCGAATCCCGGGCGTCGTCGCGCGCCGCGCACGCGTCCGCGTTTTCTTCGATCGCGAGCCGCGACAGCCGCTCGGCCGTGCCGAGCTTCGAGGTCGCCGTCGCGTCGAAGGAGTCCGGGTCCTCGGCGAGCGCGCGGCGCATCTCGGCGGCGCCCGCCGCGACGCGGCCCGCGTCGACGAGCGCGTCGCCGTGGTAGAAGCGCGCGACCGCGTGCGCCGGCGCGGCGGCGACGGCCCTGCCGAGGTGCGCCGCGGCCGCGTCGAGGTCGCCGAGCGCGGCGGCGTCGTCATGTTGCGCGAGCGCGCGGCGCCGCAGGGCCCAGCCCGCCCAGAAGAAGGCCTCCGCGTCGTTCGCCTTCAGCTCGAGGCCCAGCAGCGCGTCGCAGCCCTCGGCGAAGCGGCCGCCCTCCGCCGCGTCGATGCCGCGCGCCCGCCGCGCGGACGCCGTTTCTGTTTTGACGCTTTTCGCGAGGAGGAGCAGGAGCAGTGAGCTAGAGCGACGCATTGCTCCTAGGCTAGCGCATCGATGACGTTTTTATGCAGGCCATCACGCAGCGCTGCAACGTCGAGTGCAACGTCGTGGCTGAACTTCAAGTCTCGATGTTGCCGTGCAGCGCGTCGCAGAGCTGGACTCGAGTGACGATTCTATACCCTTTCCCACGCTGCGGTCACGCGGCGGTGGGCGGGGTATCTTCCGTAGCGGTTCCAGAAGCCGATGACCTTGGGCACAAGCGCGTTGGGGAGGCGGCCGCCACGATCGCTCGTGAGGAGCTGGACGGCCAAGACCTTCTGGTATTGTTCCTCTCGGTACAACTCGAAGCCGCCGGCCGCTTCGACGCGCGTGAGGTATGCGCGAGCGGTGAAATCACGACCCGGGGGCATCAGATCATCATAATCCGTCATCTTGAAAGTCGCGCCCGCCGCGAGGAGCAGTCGCGTCGCCGGGATGCTTGAGAACGTCGCCATGCGTAGCGGCGAGACCTCTGGCCACGGGGTCTTGAAGTTCACGTCCGCGCCGGCATCGATCAGCAGTTTCGCGATGTCCAGGTCAGGGTCGTGGACCATCAGATGAATCAACGGCGTCCAGCCGCAGGTCCCGTCTATCACATCGGGGTCGTAGCCGTCGGCAAGCAGGTCGCGAACAACGTCGACGTCGCGATCCTGGAGAATCTCCATGAGTAGCTCTACCGGCGCGCCTGGATCGCCGAACCGAGTGGCCCAGCCCGGCCCTAACACGGCGTCGAGATCATCGTCAGCGTAGCGCCGCTCGTCGGAACCGGTCGTCACGACCGTGTCGGCATCAGTTTCGTCCGCAGCCTGCTGGGCCTCGCGTAGCTCCCGATGGCGCGCAGCTTCGGCGACTGCGGCCTCGGCCGCCGCGCGCGCGGCGGCCGCGACCTCGTTGGCAATGGCCATTTCCTCTCGTAAGCGGGCATCGTCGGCCTCAGCGAAGGCAACTTCGGCGAAACAAACGGCAAGTTCGGCGGCGGCCGCGGATGCCATTGCGTGAACCACGGCAGCGTCAGCGGCAGCGTCGATCCTATTTCTCCGTGCGATCGAAAGTCGGCGCTCGCACTCCTCCAGGTGTTGCCTGGCCTCCGCGGCAGCTACCTCGTCCTCGCTGTCCAACGACTCCTCGTCGCTGTCGGTTGACGACATATCCAATGCGCGACTCGCCCTCCTACTCGACCACGATTACCACAAGCGACTCGCCGAATCTCAGGCCTCGCTCGAGGCAAGATGCGCGACACGATCGCCCGCCGCGGCGCGGACGACGAGGCGTCGCTCGGATGGGGGAAGGCGGGGGACGATGAGAAGCCGGCCCGCCCGACGATAAGCACCGCCCCGGACCCGCGCGCCGAGACGCGGCGCATCCTCGTGCTCATGGGTTTCCTCTTAATCTTGGGCGTCTGGAACCTGCGGCGATTCGCGATGCGGCCGGCGCGCGTCGAGAAGAAATTGCCCATCGTCCACGCCTTCGTCGCGAGCCGCCACGACGCGAACGCGTCGGAGCACGACGAGCTGCGCCGCCTCAAGAGGCAGCTCGCGGCGCTCGGCGTCGACGACCGCCGCGTCACCGTCGCGTGAACCGCGGCGTCGAAAGGGCGACGTTCGAGAGCTTAAAAAAAACGAACGAAATGTAGGTTCCGCGACGAGGCCCAACCGAACGCGTCGCGACCGCTCGACGCGGCCGCGGCGGCCGCCGGTACGATCGAGGGCGTCCTCACGTACCGGAGCCTCACAACAAAGCTGGCCTCCTGGGCGTCGCGGTCGCACCCGGACCCCGTCGTCATCGTCGTCAAGGAACAGGCGGTGGTGACGGCCGGCGGCGCGGCCATCGTCGACGAGGCGATCAAGTTCCTCGAGTCGGGCCGCGCGGGCGGCTGGGACGCGCTGTTCGCGGGCCACTGCGGCGAGTGCGGCTGGTGGACGTCGCGCGGCGTGTCGTCGTCGGCGGCGCCGCTCGGCGCGGGGATCGAGGGCGACGGGGCCGCGGCCGCGGCCTTCGCGGAACGCCGCGCGCGCCGCGTCGGCTGCGGCCACCTGTGTGGAAATCAAATCTTCAACCCGACTTCAATGTGCGCGTAATCGAACGATTTGGACCAAACTCTTTCGCTGTGCTTCGAGAACTCGACGAGAGCAATCGATCCGTCCAAAAATCAGCCGAATCGACTTCGATTTGATTGAGATAGAGAGTTCTGAAGTTTGGTGGGGACCCCCCAAACCAGTGGTTGATTTCCACACAGGCGGCCGCACGACGCCCGGCGCGCCCGCGCCGACGCCGGGCGACGTCGCGCGCGCGGTCCGGCGCCGCGCCGTCGCGCCCCTCGGCGGCGACTCGGCGGTGTTAGCCGCGGCCGTGGACCCGCGCTGCGCGCCGGCCGTCGTGCTCCGCTACACGCCGCGCATGGCGCGGCTCCTCGCGACCGCGGCGACGGGCGGCGGCACCTACGGGAACGTCGTCGAGCCGCGCTTCGACCTCACGCTCGCGCGCATGGCCGAGGAGCGCGTCTTCCGGAGCTTCGTCATCTGGCCGCCCGTCGTCCACAGCCAGGTCGCGCGCGACGCGGCGCCGAACGACGGCTACGGCGGCAACTCGACGCGGTTCATCGAGGCCTGGCTCAACCACGGCGGCTTCGACGACGGCGCGCCGCACTAACTAGCGCCCGAACTTGGGGTCGGCCCAGTCGTCCTTGAAGTCGAAGTCGATCCGCGGGCACTCCGGGTGGTCCTTGTACCACTGCTCGAGGAAGAGGTCGACCTTCGTCGGCGGCGGCGGCGGGGGCGGTGCGCGGCGCTTCGCCTCGGCCTCGTAGGACTCGTCGCGGCGCGGGTCGCCCGGCGCGTAGTCCCACTCGATGGGCGGTTCCGGCGGCTGGCCGAGGTCGAGCTTCCGCCGCGGCAGGTTCTTGGCCAAATTCCGCAGGTGGGCCTTGGGGTCCTCCATGCAGTAGGGCGGCGGCGGCGTCTGCTTGAGCATGAATTTCAGGAACGCGCACGCGGCCTCGTCCTCGCCGTCGTAGACCGGGTCGTCGGGCTCCGGCGGCGGCTTCGGCGGCGGCGGCGGCTTCTTGAGCGCGAGGAGCAGCAACTGCTCGTAGACGTCCTCCGTGTCGTCCCTGATGTCCTCCATCCAGGCCGGCCGCTTCCAGTCGCCGTTGGGGAGCCGCTCCGGCTTCGGGGGCCAGTCCGCGAGCTCCGCGAAGGACGCGTCCGCGATTTTCGTGATCTCGACCATGGCCTCGTCGAGCATGCGCTCGAAGGCGTCCCGCCCGAGCTTGCCGCGCCAGGGCGCCTGGATGCGCGCGGCCGCGCGGCGCCGCGCGCGGAACCGCGACGCCGCGCGCCGCGCGCGGGCCGCCGCGGCGACGACCGTCGCCGCGCGCCAGCGCCGCTCCTCCTCGCGCCAGCGCCGCCGCGCGGCGAGGCGCCGCCGGAAGGCGACCTCGCAGAGCACGCGGCGCCACCAGGCCTGGAGCCTCAGCTGGGCCCGCGCGCGCCGCGCCTCGGCCTCGCGCAGCCGCGCGAGCCGCGCGGCTTCCTCGCCGAAGCACGCGAGGCACACGTCGTCGGAGAGCGCGAAGCCGCTCCCGGGCCCGCGGTGGCCGCAGCGCACGCAGGTCCGGTCCGGCGGCGTCCAGGCCGGCTCCTCCTCGACGCTCTCCGTGTCCTCGGACGACGGCGCGTCGATGCCCTCGTCCTCGCTCACCTCCATCGCCTTCTGCGCCGCGAGCCGCGCCAAAAGCTCCGCGGCCGCGCGCGCGGCGAGCGCCGCCTTGATGCGGTCCGAGCGGAGCTCCTCGGCGTAGGCGGTTCGCCACGCGTCCCAGGCCCGGCGGCGCCGCCGCTGCCGCGCGCTCCGCCGTAAGACCTCGGCCGCGAGCGCCGCGCGGCGGACCATGGCGCGGAACGCCGCGCGATCGAGAAGAAACGCGCGCCAGCGCCGCGCGGCGCGCTGGAGCGCCAGGGCGCGCCGCGTCTCGTCGCGCCAGCGCCGCAGCGCGACGAAGCGCGCGCCGAAGCTCAACAGCCCGAGGCAGCGGCGCATGGCCTCCCGGAGCCGGCGCACGCGCGCGGCGCGCGCGCGCGCGGCGGCGCCGCGCCAGAGGCGCTGGGCGTCGCCGACGGCGCCGAGCCAGCGCCGCATGAGCGCGCGGCGCCGGCGCCAGGCCTCGGCGACGGCGAGCCACGCGCGCGCCGCGCGCTGCGCCGCGGCGACGGCGCGCGCGTAGCGCGCGGCGCGCGCGAGGTAGCGCCGCGCCCAGGCCTGGGTCCGCGTCGCCGCGGCGGCGTCGCGGCGGCGGCGGCGCCGCGCCGCGGCGCGCCGCGCGGCCGCGCCGCGCGCGCGGCGCTGCCACGCGACGGCCGCGCGGCCGCGCGTCCAGCGGACCGTCGCGCGGTAGGCCGCGTCGCGGAGCAGGGGCCAGACGGCGCGCGCGGCGAACTCGTGGGTGATGCGCCGCCGCCGCGAGCTCGTGCTGTAGGGGTCCGCGGGCGCGACGAGCGCGCGCTTGGCCGCGGGCTCGGGCGGCCGCGCCGCGTGGCCCTCGAAGCTCCGCGGCGGCGCGGGGTAGGCGCCGCGGGTCTCGAAGCTCGTCGCGGCGTAGGGGTTTTGGCGACGCGCCTCGAAGCTCGGCGCCGCGTAGGGGTTCGTTTGCCGCGCGACCGGCGGCCGCGCGAGCGGCGGCGGTTGGTAGGACGTATACCTCCCGGCGTTCGACGCGCGCGGCGCCGACGACGCCGACGCGGGCTTGGGCGCGAGGGGCGACGCCGGCGCCGTTTTTAGGGTCTGCTGCGACGTCGAGTGGCGCAGCGCGGGCGCCGCCTCCGCTTCCGGAAAGTCGCCGAAGCCGAGCTGCCGCGCGACGCCCAGCGTCGAACTCATGCGCTGCATGATGAAGCCCTTGTCGCGGTCGCCGAGGATGACGCCGTTGACGCTCAGCAGGGCCGCGCCGGGCCGCGCGCCGGCGGCCTTCGCTCTTTTTTCCGCCGCGGCCGAAACATAGCCGCTCACGACGAGGCTGCCCCGCGGGCTCGCGCCGCCGGCGCCGCTCGCGCGCCACTCGAAGTGGACGCCGGCGGACTCGCGCGGCGCGAGGTGGAGCCGCGGCCGCGCGCCGGGCCCGAGCTCGGGCATGCGCAGCGGCGCCGACCCGCCGGGCAGCCCGAGCACCGACGCGGCGTCGAGGAGCGCGTCGCCCATGGCATGAGAGGCGCTCCGCTGCGGCGACGCGTCGGACCGCTCCAGCGAACTCAGCGAGAGCGGCGCGTCGACGCCGTCGACGCTGTCGAGGCGCCGCGGCCGTCGCGCGCGGGGCCGCCGGCTCATAATGGTGCTAAAATGTGCGCGTCAACCGGCTTCCTTGCCTGCTCCTTTGGTCTGCCGCCGCTGGCAAGCAAGCCAAATGGCCGTCGCGAATCCGCGCCACTACGGGTGCCCGCGCGTCCTCCGATGCGTCGTCGGTGTCTGCGCCGTGGCCGCCGCCTACGACTTCGACGACCCGCACGCGGCGCACACGTCCCAGGCGATCCAGTGGGACCGGGAGAACCGGCGCGGCGACAGCCGGCGCGCCTTCGAGTCCGCGGCGCGGTTCACGCCGACGACGCAGACCATGGTGAACCTCGGCGTGTGCTACATGCGCCTCGCGAGCGGGTCGGGCCACCGGGCGCACAAGGTCGAGCTCTACGGTTTAGCGTACGACGCGATGGCGCGCGGCGGCGAGCTCGCGGGCCGCGACGAGGACGTGCGGCTCTACGAGGAGAACTGGGACGCGCTCATGACGAACTTCAACATCGAGGACGTGCCGCGGCCGCGGGGGAGCGTCGCCGTCGGGTCCGCGGCGGAGGCCGAGGAGGAGCTGCCGCCGGACCCTAGGCAGTGCGGCGCGCCGCCGGAGAAGGCGCCCAAGTCGGCCTTCGAGCAGCTCATGGGCTTCGGGAGCCGCATGGCGGGCCTGGGCGGCGACGCGCCGGCCATGCCCGCGCGCGACTTCCTGCTGCACCAGCGGCCCGTGGCCGTCGCGGACGACCTGCCGCGCGTCGACGCCGCGGACCTCGCCAAGTTCGCCGAGTACGAGGAGCGGCGCGACCCCTTCGTGCTCCGGGGCGCGACGGCGGGCTGGAAAGCCGTCGAGGAGGCGGGGAAGACGAATGCGGGCGCCTGGGCCTGGCTCGAGGCGCTGGCGGACCAGTTCCCCGACGCGGTGACGGACTTCTACCCCTACAACATGCTTTCCAGTAATCGCCAGTCGCCCTATTTGACGCGCTTCCGGCGCGCGGTCAAGGAGCTCAAGATCGTCAACGACAAGCACCAGCAGCTCAACGGGAGCGCGTTCCGCTACGAGTCGGGCAACGGCGCGCTCCGGGGCCGCTACATGCACCTGCAGCTCACGCCGGACGTCTGGTCGGAGCTCGAAAAACGGGGCGCGATCGCGGCGGACCGCCACTGGCAGCTCGAGAACGACGCCTGGCTCGAGGAGTGCCTGGGCTACCCGCACGGGGCCGTCGCCGCCGAGTACCACCTGAAGACGCACTGGAAGATCCTGCTCGTGGGCGCGAGGGGCGCGGGCATGTTCAACCACAGCGACTCGCTGCAGACGTCGTCGTGGCACGCGCAGCTCGCGGGCCGCAAGTGGTGGCACGTCTGCGGCGCGCTCAGCGACGGCCGACCCAAGTGCTACGAGGGGATCGTCGCGCCGGGCGAGATCCTCTACTACGGCCGCGGCTGGTCGCACGAGACGCAGAACCTGGACGACCCGACGGCGACGATCACGGACACGGCGGTCCACGCGCGCAACTTCGCCGCCGTCGCCGACAAGCTCCACGGCGAGTGCACGCGCGAGGTGTTGGATTTCCGCTTCTCGGGCCAGCTCTGCGACGCGCTCGACGCGTGCTACAACGTCCTCCACCGCGCGTTCAAGGACGGCCGCGACAAGCCGCCGTCCATGTGGCGGCCCTGGCGCGGCCTCGCCGCGCCCGAGCTCGTCGAGAAGCGCAAGACCATCGTCCCGGAGCACAACAACTACGACGGCCGCAACTACATCACGGAGTAGGGCGACGCGGGGTGTAAAATTACCGCTACTGCTCGAGAGGCGCGCTCAAGAGGGAGGCGAATCGGGGCTGGCAGCCTGAATACGATTATGGATGAGGGTTAAGTTTTTGCTGACCAGGTCGCAGAAGCTTTTCAGATACACGACAAAGCAAGATTCACCTGCGACGCGCGGAGTGACGGAGCGCGAGCAGTGATTGTCGCGCTGCGTGCACACAGACACACTTTTTGAATGACACGACACGATTCAAGATAGGCTCGCACTCCGCGTTAGACTCGCGCCACTGATAGCGAACGCCGACAGCACCCGGGCTCGCACAATGTGCCGCACTATGTGCGCCGTTGCAGCGCGCTTGCTTTCCGCGAAGCCGGCCGTTCGACTTGCGCGACGGCGGCTCTTTGATCGTGAGTTTGGAACCGATTGCATCGGTCAGAAGCTCCAGTTGCTTCGTACTACGCCGCAGACCGCTCGCTTCCATGATCTTGTTATCCATGATCAGGTTGCGCACGACCTTCAGCTCTTTGCACTTGCTGCGATGGTCGGACCAGCACATCCGCTGACAATAACGGGAGCAATAGCGCTCGGATTGACATACGGCGCACACCGTCTTACAGGGCTGTGTGCAATATACACACACGGCAAGCTGGTTACTATTTTCAGCCACGCCGCGGACCGCAAATCCGCCGATGAACCCCATCGGGCTGCGGGGTCACGCAAGGTCGACATTGCTCCTCAGCTTTGACACCTCGAGCCTCGCCGCACGACGCGACGCCCGGGTGCTACTCGAATTGCGCATGGCCTCCTCGGACAAGGCGGCCATGAGCAGCCAGGGCAAGGTCTTCTGGGCCGTCGCGGGCTACATGGCCTGCAGCGCGACGCTGCTCATCGGCAACAAGCTCGCCGTCCACATGCTGCCGGCGCCGTCGTTCATCCTCTGGGCCCAGCTCGCGGGCACGGTCGTCGCCGTGAAGCTCGCCCACTTCGGGGGCGCCATCTCCCACATGGACGCCCTGGAGTGGCCCAAGGCCAAGGCCTTCTTCCCCGTGGCGCTCATCTTCGTCGCGACGATCTTCAGCAACATGAAGAGCCTCGAGTACGCGAACGTCGAGACGTTCATGATCTTCCGCTTCTCGACGCCGCTCTGCGTGAGCGTCTGCGACTACCTCTTCCTCGGGCGCCACCTGCCGACGACGCGGTCCTGGCTGAGCCTCTTCGGGCTCCTCGTCGGCGCCGCGGGCTACGCGCTCACGGACGCGTCGTTCGTCGTCAAGGGCTACGCGTTCTGCGGCTTGTGGTACTTCATCTTCTGCCTGGACCAGGTCTACCTGAAGCACGTCACGTCGACGGTGAAGATGGAGAGCAACTGGGGCCGCGTCTTCTACTCGAACCTCCTCGCGTCGCTGCCGCTCATGTTCATGTGCCTGGCGGAGAAGGACGTGATCCTGAGCGCGTCGTCCGACGCGCTCCTGGTCGTGGGCGGCACGGTGCTCCTGGGCGCGGCCATGTCCTACTACGCCTGGATGGCCCGGTCCCTCGTGTCGGCGACGTTCTTCACGATCCTCGGCAACATCTGCAAGGTCGTGAGCATCGGCATCAACGTGACCATCTGGGACAAGCACGCGACGCCCTTCGGCATCGCCTGCCTCCTCTTCTGCCTCGGCGCGGCCTACTTCTACAAGCAGGCGCCCCTCCGCAACCAGCCGCCGGAGCTCCCCCTGTCGAAGTGAGCGTCGGCCGGGTCGTTTAGTTCACGCCTTATACTCGACTTGTTACTCGTCCCGGACCTCGCGCCAGAGCGCGTCCGCGGCCTCGCGCCACTTGGCGGCGTCGTCGCGCGCCCGGGCGAGCTCCGCGCGGAGCGCGTCGGCGTCGCCGCCGGCCCGCGGGGCCGCGTCGGGCGCCGGCTCGCCGCCCGCGCGGAGCTGCGCCACCGGCACGATCGCCGCGGGGCGCTCCGCGTCGTCGCGCCGCAGCGGCGCCATGGCCAGCGACGCGTGCTGCCCGCCCCGCGGGCGGTCCGGCAACACCACGAGGTGCCGCAGGGGCGGCGCGTTGGGCCCCAGCGCGACGACGCGGACGCACTGGCGGCTCTCGGCGTCCCAGACGCGCAAGGAACCGTCGTCCGAGGCCGACACGAGGACCGCGTGGTCCGACGGGTGCTGCGCGACGCCCGTGACGCGCGCCGCGTGGCCCGCGTAGGCCAGCGCCGGCGCCCGGGCCTTGAACAAGCCCGCGAGGGCGCCGTCGCCGCCGTCGCCGGCGCCCTCGAAGAGCGTCGCGCCGCGCGCGTCCAAGACGCGCGCGGTCGCCGCCGCGGACGACGCCGCGGCCTGGGCGTCGAGGTCCACGCGCAGGATGAGCCCGGACTCGCAGCCCAAGAGCAGGTAGGCGTCGAGGACGTCGAGCGCCGCGCAGCGCGGCGCCTCGTCCACCGATAAAGTGCAGACGAGGCGCCCGGACGCGAGGTCCCGTACCCTAGCGGTGCGGTCCAGCGCGCAGGAGAAGACCCGCAGGCCCCGGCAGAGCACCGCCGTCACGGGCATGCTGTGCTCGCTCCAGTGGTCGAAGAGCGGCGAAGGCGCGCCCAACGCGTCCGCGTCGACCAAAACGCACGCGTCCCAGGGCGCGACGACGCCGTCCTCGCCGCCGCTTAGCAGCACGTCGCCGCCCTCGCTCCAGCACAGGGCGCTCACGCCGCGGAAGTGGCCCTCCCAGGCGCGCGCGAGGCGGCCGGACCAGAGCTCCCAGACGTAGAGCCGGCCGCTCGCGGCGCCTCCCGCGGCGAGGTACGCGCCGCACGGCGTCAGGGCCGCGGCGCCGAGCCGCTCGGGCACGCGGCTCCGCAGGTCGACGCCCCGCGCGCCGACGCCGTAGCCGATCAGCGACGCGTCCTTGGCCGCGCAGACCACGGCGACGTCGCGCGCGACGCAGAGGGCGCCGGGCTTCTCGCCGAGGGCCATGGACGACCGCTGCTGGAAGCTCTCGAGGTCGACGCTGATGATGGCCTCGTCCGTCGTGCACACGACGTGCTCGCGCTCGAGCTCCGCCATGGGTGATTTGCAGAGCGCTGCCTAGTAGTTCAGGCGCTCGATCATATCGCTTGCGAGAGCGGTAAACATCGGCTAAGTGCCTCGTTGTTTACGCCTTCTCTCGCGCGCGACAGGGCAGCCCCAGCGAAGTTCTCGACGTCGCGGGCGCGCGAGGACGTCGCGTCGTGGTCCGTTCGACCAGGTGCGAAAGGGCGCGTGCGCGAGGCAGCCTCTGGAGCGATTGAAGTCGGTACGAAAAGCTCGTGATCCGAAGTGCCTCGACGACGACAGCCATGAGTCCGAGCCGCCGACTCCCGCTGCTGCTCCTGATTGGAGTCTGTGGCGCCTACGTGCTGCCCACGACCGCGCTCGCGAACCCGAGACCGACGGGCTCCGCGCGCGTCGTCATCGCGGAGAGCCCCTGCGCCTGCCCCGCGCCAAAGGGCTGGGACGTGTCGGTGCCCACGCTCGCCGCGGGACTCGGCACGGGCTACAAGCTCTGGCGCGCGCTGCCCCCGCAGTGGAAGACGAGCGTGCTCGCGACGTCGGCCAATTTCGGACCGCCCGTCGTCGTCGTCTCGCTCCTGGGCGAGCGGGGCGGCCGCGCGCTCGTCGCCTTCCTCCGCGACTTGCTGGCGACCGTCGCGCGCTTCTTTTCGTAGTTAACTTTAACGGGGGGCGCTTTGTGAGTGGTCGGCGGCTCCTTACGGCGCGGGCGCGCCCGTCGCGCGGCGGTGTCATTGAAGCAGGCCTTGAACATCGCAAACAGCGTGCTCGAGCGCACCGCGTCGACGCCGAAGCGCCACTGCAATGGTGTTTGCCCAGGTGCTCCTCGCGGCGGCGGCGGCGTCGGCCTTCGGGCCGTCGCCGTCGCGCGTCGCGCCGCCCACGGCCCTCCGCGCGACGCTGGCGTCGCCGACGGAGCGGTCCGCCGTCGGCGGCGCGGCCCTCGCCAAGTCCTTCGCCGACGCCAAGGCCGACGGCCGCGCGGCGCTCGTGGGCTACCTCACGGGCGGCTACCCGGCCTCCGGCGAGACCGTGGACCTCATGCTGAGCCTCGAGGCCGGCGGCACGGACGTCATCGAGTTGGGGGTTCCGTTCACGGACCCCATGGCAGACGGCGCGACGATCCAGGTCTGCAACGAGGTCGCGCTCAAGCAGGGCGTCGGATTGGAGCAGTGCCTCGCCTACGTCAAGCAGGCGCGCGAGCAGGGCCTGACGGCGCCCGTCGTGCTCATGGGCTACTACAACCCCTTCCGCGCGTACGGCCTCGAGAAGCTGGCCAAGGACGCGGCGACCGCGGGCGTCGACGGCTTCATCATCGTCGACCTGCCGCCGGAGGAGGCGAGTTTGGAAGGCGTGCTCAAGGCCTGCCAGGAGGCGCCCGGCGGGTCTCTCGGGTATGTGCCTTTGGTCGCGCCGACGACGACGGACGAGCGCATGGCGTACCTGGCGGACGCGGCGGCTCAGACGGGCGGCGGCATGCTCTACTGCGTGTCCGTGACGGGCGTCACGGGCGGCGCCGCGGCGCTCAAGAGCGACCTCGAGCCCTTCATGGCGCGCGTGCGCGCGGCCGCGGGCGACGTGCCGCTGGCGGTAGGTTTCGGCATCTCGACGCCGGAAGGCGTCAAAGAGACGGCGGCTTTAGCCGACGGCGTCGTCGTCGGGTCGGCGATCATCCGGTCGTTGGACGCCTCCGCGGACTTCGCGGCGCCGAAACGCGCCGAGGCCCTCGAGGCCTTCGCGAAGACGCTCCGCGACGCGACGGCGGGCGAGTCCGCGCGCGACGCCCCGCGCGAGGCCGGCGCCGCGGAGGCCGCGGGCTTCAAGCCGACGTCGCTCCCGGACCACTTCGGCGCCTTCGGGGGGCGCTACATCCCCGAGACGCTCGCCGCGGCGCACGCGGAGCTCGAGCTCGAGTACGAGAAGGCGATCAACGACCCCGCGTTCCTCGAGGAGCTCGCGTTCTACCGCAAGCAGTTCATCGGCGGGCCCACGCCCCTGTACCGGGCCGACCGCCTCTCGGAGGCCGTCGGCGGCGCGACGATCTGGCTCAAGCGCGAGGAATTGGCGCACACGGGCGCGCACAAGATCAACAACGCCGTGGGCCAGGCCTTGCTCGCGAAGCGCCTGGGCAAGACGCGGGTCATCGCCGAGACGGGCGCGGGCCAGCACGGCGTCGCGTCGGCGACGGTCTGCGCGCTGCTGGGTCTGGAGTGCGTCGTCTACATGGGCGCGGTCGACTGCGCGCGGCAGTCGCTGAACGTCTTTCGCATGAACGTGCTCGGCGCGGAGTGCGTGCCCGTGCGCGCGGGCGAGGCCACATTGAAGGACGCCATCAACGAGGCCATGCGCGACTGGGTCACGAACGTGCGCGACACGCACTACTTGATCGGGTCCGCGATCGGGCCGCACCCGTTCCCGACGATCGTCCGCGACTTTCAAAGCGTCATCGGCAAGGAGGCGCGGGCCCAGTTCATGGAGATGAACGACGGCGCGCTGCCGGATGCTGTGGTGGCCTGCGTCGGCGGCGGCTCCAACGCCATCGGCATGTTCCACCCCTTCGTGGGCGACGAGGGCGTCGAGCTCCACGGCGCGGAGGCGGACGGCGACTCGACGCAGGGTTCGGCGACTTTAAGCCGCGGCTCGCCGGGCGTGCTCCACGGCACGAAGACCTACCTCCTCCAGGACGAGGTCTCGGGCCAGGTCGAGGCGACGCACTCCATCTCCGCGGGCTTGGACTACCCCGGCGTCGGCCCGGAGCACGCGTTCCTCAAGGACGCGGGCCGCGCGCAGTACGCGCCCATCAACAACGACGAGGCCCTCGCGGCCTTCTCCCAGCTCTCGCGCACGGAGGGCATCATCCCCGCGCTCGAGCCCTCGCACGCGGTCGCGCTCGCGATCAAGCTCGCCAAGGAGAAGGGCCCGGGCAAGCACGTCGTCGTCAACCTCTGCGGCCGCGGCGACAAGGACATGATCACGGTCGCCAAGGCCCTCGACGTCGACCTCGACGACTACACGCCCACGGACGGCAAGTGGGACTCGTTCACGAACCGCATCACCTACGAGGGCAAGGACCAATAAGCGCGCGTCCTCCCCCGCCGCGCGCGCGTCTGCGCGCGCGCCGAATCCCTCTACTAAGCGGTCGTCCGAAGTTTGGTGTACGGGGGTGGTGCCGTGTGTTGGGGTCGACGTTGGCGCTGGCAGACGCGTAGGCGGCTTCCGCCCACGCGTACGAGGCCTCGTACGCCGCCACGCCAGCCCGTGTTGGAGTCCATCCTCTGCGTCAGCACCTACTCGGCCATCACCGCGCCGCCGCCGCCGCGCGCTTGCACCGACCACGGCGTTCCACCGTCGTCGCCTCGCGCCGCTCCTCGCCGCGACGCTTCGCTTCGCCGCCACCCGCGCGATGACCGCCCCGAGCTGGAAGGTGGGCAAGAACGCCCTGGCCCTGGGCATGATCGGCGACGCGCCGACGCGCTGCAAGAAGACGGGCGAGTTCGAGTTCGGCGACGCGCCGGACTTCCGGCCCAACATGTCGCCGGCGGAGGTCCTCAAGGCCGGCTCCTTCGGCGGCGGCTACTACCGCGACATCTCGTCGACCGTCACCGGCGAGACGTACAAGGACGCGTGGAAGGAGCTGCCCCCCGCCTGGCTCGAGGGCGTCGACGTGAAGAAGTACGTGTCGTCCAAGACCTACCGCCCGGAGGTCAACACCTACGGCGTCAACTGCGGCGTCAAGGTCGACAAGTCGGACTCGTTCGGTCTGAAGGCGTGGGAGAACTCGGGCTGGATGGACGCGCAGGACCCCTACGGCTGGTTCCAGTGGTATTGCCGCTTCTTCCAGGGCCGCCGCTCCGACGACGACGAGCGCCAGCTGTCGCGCTGGCACAAGTGCTGCGGCGCGCGCGGCCGCTGGAAGAGCAACCTGATCGCGAAGGTGTTACGGGCCGACAAGTCATTCGACGACGCGTCGGTGTCGCCCGTCGTGCGCCAGACGTTGCAGCACTGGGGCTTCCGGCTCACTAAGGCCCACTTCGAGGCCGGCGCGAAGCGCGTGAAGACGCACGGCGCGGCCTACGTGCCCCGGGAGTCCCTCGCGGGCGTCATGACGAAGAAGCCGGCGGCGAAGAAGCCGCGGGACGAGTCCGACGACGAGGCCCCGGCGCCGAAGCCGAGCGCCGCGGCCCAGAGCGAGGACCGCGCGGCGCGCGCGAAGAAGCGCGCGAAGAAGCCGGCGGCCAAGAAGCCGCGGGGCGACGCCGAGTCCGACGACGTCGCCGTCCACGGCGCCGGCGCCGGCGCCCTTCTCCGCGACCTTCTCGGCGACGCCCCGAAGCCGAAGCGCGCGAAGAAGTAAAAACGTGCGAAGGGGACGTAACGAGCGCGAAGAAGAAGCGCGCGAAGAAGTAGCGAAGAAGTAAAAGTTGCGAAGCAGACCCTATTTAAAGGGCACTGGCAGTCGCTAAAGCAGACCCTAAAAAAGAGCGCTACCTACTGGCGCGGCGGCGCCTTCGCGTCGTCGGGCTTCTTCGCCCCGGGCGGCGGGAGCTGGACGCGCATGTTGCCGAGGCCGATCTGCTGGTTGTAGTAGGCCTGCTTCGCCTCCCGTTGCGCCTCGTACTCCTCGTCGCTGATCTCGTCGAGCTCGCCCTCCAGATCCCGGACGATGACGGGCTTGTTGTCCGGGTTCGGGTCCGAGGACGCGTCCTGGTCGCTGTAGATCTTGGGGCGCGACGTCGTGTCGTAGGACGCGGTCCAGTCGTAGTTCTTGTGGCTCTGGGACGACTTCTTGGACACGGGCGCGCGCTGGTCGCTGAAGAGGCCCTTGTCGCGCTTCTCCTTGCCGACGCGCATCTTGTCGCGCCACTTGGCCATCTGCTTCGCGTCCATCTTCTTCTCCTTGTAGATGCCCTCGCGGTCGTCGTCGAAGGTGCCCCCGAAGTACTTGCCGTCCTTGGCGTCCTGGACGCGCTCGAGCTTCTTCAACTTCAACAGCTCGCGGTCGACGTCGACCTCGACCGCGCGGCCCCCCAAATCCATGGCGCGACGAAAATCGTCCTTCGCGTCGTCCCACTTCTTCAGATCGATGCGGACCTGGCCCCGGCGGAACAAAGACTTGACGTGGTTGCCGTCGTTCTCGATGCACTCGTTCAAATTCGTCTCGCAGTCCGCGAACGCGCCGCGCTTCCGCATGAGCATGGCCTCGTTCAGCAGGAGCGGGATGGACGCCTGGCGGCCCCGGTTGTTCTCGTTCATGTGGAAGTCCTGCGGGTCCATGCCCGTGTCCTCGGGCTTCAGGAACCCGAAGAGGCGCACGCCGTCGTGCCAGACGAGCTCCGCGCGGCGGTACCGCTTCGCCGCGAAGAGCCGCGTGCCGCGCTCCTTGAGCTCCAGGGCGACCTTCTCCTTCGTGCGCATGTCCATGGTCATGGGGTCCCGCAGCTTCTTCCGCGTGTCGTCGACCTCGGTGACGGCGACGTCGAGGATGACGCGCGGCGCCTTCGCGACGGCTTTGCCGATGGCCGCGCGGTCGACGCCCTCGCCGTAGCGCGTTTCGGCGTCGGCCCACCAGCCCGGGGGTACGCACGCGTCGAGCTGCTTCGCGTCCAGGACCGTGTCGGGAAGCAGGCACTCGCCGGAGATCGTGAACCGCGACACCAAATTCTTCTTCACGGCCTTCAAACAGGCCTCGAAGCCCTCGGACGTGCGGCCGTCGCCGAGGCACACCACGAACGGCGCGGCGACGTCCTTGGACGGCGCGTCGTCGGGCTCCTCGCCCGCGTCGACGCTCAGGCCGAACCAGTCGCGCTTGGGCTTCCAGCCGCCGGACCAGCCCGAGACGAGCTTGATCGTGCCCCGGACGACGTCGCCGTCGGAGCCCTGCTTGCCGTGGAGGCCCTTGGTCTCGTCGGACACGTGGCCCAGGCGCCGGCTCTTCGCGAGGCCCGCGAGGCCGCCGTGGCCGTGCGACGTGCCGCCGTAGGGGTCGACGACGACGCGCTCCGTGAGGATCTCGTGGACCTCGACCTCCAGGCGCCAGCCGCCGTGCTCCGTCGTCTCGTAGAGGCACTTCTCGCCGTTGCGCGTGCCGCCGAGGCAGTCGTCGAGCGCGAGCGCCCACTTGGCCTTGGTCAGGCGCACGGGGTTGGGCAGCTGGAGCCACTCGTCGAGGTCGTCGTCGCCGAATCCCGGCGGCTCCGGCGGCGGCGGCGACCGCACCTGGAGCGTCTGGTAGCGCCGCGCGGCGGCGGGCTCGCCGCCCTCCAATGACCACTTCTCGATGTTCAGCAGGTCCTCGCTCAGCGGCGGCGCGTCGCCGGGCCGCGGCCACGCGACGAACGTGCAGAGCACCTCCTGCTTGCCGTAGGGCTTCTCCCAGCCGCTGCAGTTGTTCGTCGTCTTGCGCACGTGCGTCGGCGGCGGGCCCTCGGGCTCCTTCTTCTCCTCCTCGGCGCCGACGGCCGGCGCCGCGTCCTCGACGTCCTCGACGACGGGCGCGTCGTCCTCGACGTCCTCGACGACCGGCGCGTCGGCGTCGACGTCCTCGACGAGCGGCGCGTCGTCGTCGACGTCCTCGACGAGCGGCGCGTCCGGGTCCGCGGCCATTGGGGCCGAGGACGACTTCCAAGTGGCGGCGCTCGGTGGCTGCCGGCGAGGCCCCGCGAGAGAGAGGGCCAATGCTGCAGCGCTGTGATAATTTTGAGTCAAATTTGACGGCATCGTCGCGTGTTGCCGCACGATGGCAGGAGCCTACGAGGCCCTGCCAGTCCTCTATGCGACCCTTAGAGTCGCGTCGGCAGCGCCGGCAAGCCAGGGCATGGCGCTCGTACTGCTCGTGCTGGCCACGGCGCGCGCGCGGGGCCAAAAGTCGCGCTGCGCCACGACCCTGGCGCTGCCGGTCTGCCTCGCCGCCGCCGCCGCCGCCGCGGCCGCCGGCACCGCGACGCACGACCGCTTCGACGCGCTGGCGCGCGCGGCGACGGCGGGCTCCGCGGCGGCGGCGTGGGCGAACGCCGGGTCCGCCGCCGAGCGATGCGCCGCGGCGCTCGCGGCCGTCGTCGCCGTCGCGGCCGCAGAGCGCTCCCTGCCCGCGGCGTTGCTGCTCGTCGGGGCCCAGGCCCTCGCGCGGCGGCGCCTGGTGGCGACGGTGGCGTCCGCCGCCGAGCGGCGCGGCGAGCTGGACCTCGTCGCGCAGATTTTGGGCGCCGCGGCGGCCGACGGCGTTTCGCTCGCGCCCGCGGCCGACGGCGCGGCGGTCCTCGCGCGCTACGCGCCCCTCGGCGCCGCCGCGGCGCTCCTCGCCGGCGGCGGCGGCGCGCCGCGGCCGGGGCTCGGGCGGCGCGTCGCGCGCGTCGCGGGCCTCTACGGCTTCGTCGTCGCGGCCGGGCTTCGCCGCGGCGTCGCGTTCGAGCCCGCGTCCTACGTCGCCGCCTTCGTCGCGCGGCCGGGGCGCGTCGCGCTCCTCCTCTACTGGGCCGCGGCCCTCGCCGCCGGCGTCGCGGCCGCGGCCGCGTCGACGCGGCCGAAGGTCGAGCGGAGGAAGATTTTCCATCTGCTCGCCGTCGCGCTCTTCGTCCCCGGCGCGGCGGTCGACGCTCCGTGCCTCTCCCTCGCCTACGGCGGCGCCCTCGCCCTGCTCCTCGTCGCCGAGGACCTGCGCCTCGACACCGCGCCGCCATTCCACGCGGCCCTGGGAGCGTTCTACGCGAAGTTCCTCGACGACCGCGACGGCGGCGCGGCTCCGGGCGGCGGCGCGGCGCGCGCGCCCGCGGCGCTCACGCACGTCTACCTGCTCCTCGGCTGCGCCCTGCCCCACTGGCTCGCCGACGCCCTCGCGGCCGACGGCGCCGAGCGCCGCGCGCTCCGCGTCGGCGGCGTCCTCGTCCTCGGCGTCGGCGACGCGGCGGCGGCCGTCGTCGGCTCGCGCTACGGCAAGCGGACCTGGCCCGGCACGCGGCGCACGTTCCTCGGCTCCGCCGCCTTCTTCTTCGCCACGGCCGCGGCCGCGGCCGCCGACGGCGCCGCGCGGCGCGCGCCGGCGGTGATCCCCGTTTCGGCGATCGCCGCGGTCGCCGCGCTCGAGGCCGTCGCCGCCCAGGTCGACAACCTCACGCTCCCCCTCTTCTACGCGGCCCTCGTCCTTCGATAACGGCGCTAGTGGTGGTGGTGGTGCTTCTCCTCGCGGTAGATGAGGAGCACGATGGACGTGATGAGGATGGCCGTCAGGAAGGCCGACACGATGAAAAACCCCGGCGGTGGTCGGCGGTGGTGCCACGGGCCCGGCGGGCCGTGGTCCTCGACGACGTAGATGCCCGGCGGCGGCTGCTCGACGACGACGACGGGCGGCGAAGCGTACGCGGGAGGCGCGCCCTGGTACTGCTGCGCGGGCGCCCCGGCGATGACGACGGGCGGCGCGGGCTGCGCGATGAGCGGCGTCTCCACGTCCGCCTGGGCCTGGAGCTCGGCCGCGAGGGCAGCGTCGTTGGACGTGTCCGCCATCGAGTGTCAATGAGAGTGGGCTGCCCGCAGCCCTGTGAGAAGATGCGGCTGCACCTAGTCTCGGCGCGGCGACGGCCTCTTTTTGATCGGCGCGGAGGGTGCGACGCACGAGGTCCGCGCGGCGGTAGGACACGTCGGCCCACTCCTTTGGTTTTTGTTCAATAAAGCTGCTCGTTGATCTCGTTGCCATCGTGCGCAGCTGAATCAGCATGGGCTGCCTTTAGGAGAGGTGACTCCTCTACTCGGTCCACGACAAAACAATGTGGGGCGCCGAGCGACCGGACACGTCCAGCGATGCGGCCCTCGCCGCGGAGCTCCAGGCCCAGGCCGACGCCGAGACGCCGCTCATGCCGCCGCCGCCGGTGGCGGCGACGCAGCCCGCGGGCCCGACGATTCACGTCGTTCAGGCGGAGCAGCCGCCCGCCGGCTACTTTGTCTCCTACGCCGGCGACGACGAGTGGCGGTACCGGCGACGGCAGGGCCTCCTGCTCTGCTTGATCTGTACGCTCGTGGCCATCCTCGTCGCGGCCGTCGTCCTGTTGCTGCTCCACTATCGCGAGGAGCACTCCAACGACGACGATCCAATGGATGATGACACAAATGACGTCGGCGCGGACGACGACATCCGCGCGCGCTTTCGACGGCGGCGCTGGTAGCCGACTAATACGTCCCGCCGACGTTTTCCGCCGCGCGCACCTCGTGGCACAATCGTTAATCGCCGCTGCGGTGCCACGTCCGTCGCCGGCGGAGGCGCGCGCGCCGCGGTGGCGGCGGACACGGACAGACTTGCGGGCGGGAACGGACGGCGCCTGGGACGGCGCCTAGGCGTCGCAGGAGCAGTAGCCGTCGGAGCAGCCGTCGGTCTGGCCCGTGGTCGGGAGGTTGTAGATGGCGTCGGAGAGGCGGCGGTTGCGGTTGCGGCGGTCCGGGAAGTACTCGGTCGGGGGGGGGAGGTCTGGAAGCACGAGTCCGTCATGTCCCACTTGGCGCAGATGTCGTAGTAGGTCTCGGTCTCGATGAGCTTGTCGATGCAGGGGTCGAGGATCTGCTTGAGGCCCGCGCCCTTCTTCGACATGGACAGCGTCGTGCCGCCGTAGGCGTACTCGGGCATGCCCGTGTGGATGTAGGCGTAGCCGCCCGGCTGGCCGAGCATGTTCCACAGCTCGCAGTCGACGCCCGCCGTCGCCTCGTCCTCGGCGCAGGCCGTCATGTAGTTGTAGGCCTGGTCGCTGTAGATGTAGATGGCGTGGGCCTGGCCGTTCATGAGCATCTTGAGCGCCTTGTCGTTCTCGTTCGTGCAGTAGTCGCCGTCGCACGACTCGATGTCGCCCGAGCCGAGCATGGTGACCTCGTCGACCTTGAAGAAGGCGCCGCCGTTGCAGTCGTTCTGGAGCACGCTCACCGTGTCCGCCGTCGGCGCCCAGCCCGTGACGTCGACGACGACGTACTCGCTGAGGTCCGACGTCGGCGACACGACGGGGTTGCCGTCGTCGTCGAGCATCGCGATGAAGCCGCACTCCTTGTTCAGGTCCAGGATCGGCGTCGAGAACTCCATGTAGCGGTTGCGCGCGCCGATCGTGTGCGTGTAGGTCTGGCAGCCGTGGTAGTAGCCCGCCAACAACGAGTCGCCGATGTGGCCGTCGGTCCAGCACTCGGCCCAGCCCGCCTGGATCGTCGTGACCTCGATGTCGCAGACGCCCTCCAAAGCCTTGGCGATGTCCGGGCCGAAGCCGCCGACGATCGTGTCGTTGGCGTACTCGCCGGGGTAGACCAGGGTAGCGTAGGGCGGGTAGTCGACGTCGATGCCCAGCAAAATCCGCGGGTGCGTCGTCCCCGGCATCATGCCCGGGATGATGGGCTCCTGGGGGAAGCCCTCGCACGTGTCGTCCTCGCACATGCCGCAGGAGTCGGGGCAGGCGTCGGAGCCCAGGGTCTTGTCCGAGCTCTTGACGGCGCAGCGCGAGTCGGGCAGCTTCTTGACCCAGGCGCAGTCCTTCTCCGTGTCGTCCTTCTTGTACCAGCTCGTGCTGTCCTCGCAGTGGCCGTCGGCGTCGGCGGACCCGATCAGGGCGAGGGCGAGCAGGAGGCGCTGCATTCTTGCGACGTCGATGTCAAAAATCTGGCTGGCTGCCAATCGATTCTGTTTTGCCTGTCAAAGGGCTTGTCTGCATTCCTGCAAGATCCTGGACTTGCAGCTCAACTTGACTTTGTGCGGCGGCTCGATATGAGCTCGAGGATGCGCCGCGAGCGCCCATCCTCACCGCGCCGGTCGCACCTCGAGAGCAGCGCCCTGGCCGAGGACGCGCGGCGCATCATCCTGCACCATGTCTCGCTGGTCGACATGCTCTCGATCCACTGCGTGTCCCCGGCCTGGCGCCGGCGCGGGCTCCTGGACCCGCGCTGGGTGCCCGCCGTCGCGCCGCCGTGCCTGCGGGCCGCGGGCGCCCTGACGAGCCGGGACCACGGCGCGGCCCTCGCGCGCTACTTCGTGCGCTACGTCGAGTGGGTCCGCGGCTGGCTCGCGGACGCCGACGACGTCGACGCGCGGCGCAAGCGGCGGTCCGCGCTCGACGGCTTCTTCGCGCTCGCGCCCTGGGCCGGCGGCCCCCGCGGGCCCTGGCTTTTTCGCGCGCTCGCGCCCCGGGACGCGCCCAAACCGGAGCGCCGGTCGCCGCGGCTCGCGCCGCGGACGGCGGACGAGCTGCCGTGCACGTACTTCCAGCGGCGCGACGAGATCGAGGACGACCTCGAGCCGAGCCCCGGCGCCGCGGCGCCCATTTTGCTCGCCCGGGCCGGCGCGCCGGAAAGCGCCATCGACGCGACGGCGCGCGCGGCCGCGCGCCGGCCCGCGCGCCGGCTCCGGCGCGTGTCGCTCGAACCCGTCGCCGTCGTCGCGCGCGGCACCTGGCCCCAGGGGTCGGTGCCCCAGCTGCGCGACGTCGCCGAGGCGTTGCGGTTCCTCGACGCCGCGCGGCGCGTCGTCGACTGCTACCTCGGCGAGGGCGCGGCGTCCGTGAAGCCCGTCCGGACGAAGGAGGTCGCCGACTCCAAGGGGATCATGTTTCGCAAGATCCGCTCCGAGTTCTTCATGTTCGGCCACGACCTGGGCCTCAACGCCGTGGCGCTCGACGAGCACCGGTCCCGCGACATGACCGTCTACGCCGTGGCCCCGCACTTATTTTTCGACGACGCGCGGCTCTTCGCGACGCCCGACTCCGAGGCCGACGAGCGGCTCTTCGCGGCGCCCGTGCGGGCCACGGTCGCCGAGCACGAAGAGCACTTCCTCGCGGGCGTCGGCCACGTGCCCTACTGCGTGTCCACGGGCGCGGTGCACTTCTTCAACGACGCGAAGATGCGGTCGCGCGCGTTCGCGGCGACGGCGCTCCAGGCCGCGCTCCGGGGCGGCGCGGGGTTGTCCGCGTGCGAGAACTGGAACTGCGCCCTGAACCGCATCTCGTGCTTCGGGGATTTGGCGGCGCACTCGCTGCTGTGCTGCCCCTGTTGTTTTCGGCGGCTGGAGCTCGCGGGCGTCGTCGGCGACGTCGACGCGGTGCTGAGAAGGCTTGCTGTGTTGCTGGCGAGCGACGATTTTCGGACCGTCTCCGCGCGCGACCTCCGCGAGCTGGGACAGTACGGCTACGTCGACGAGCCGCCCGCGACGGCCGGGCCCGTGGTCGTGGACCTGACCTAGTCGTAGTGGGGGCGTGTAATCTTTTGGAGAGCTCTTAGGACGCGACCACGGAGAGCTCGTATCTCGTCCCGGTCTGGAAGGACTGGTCGCCCCTCGCCTTGCTCAGGACCACCGAGAAGAGCGACGCGGAGACCGACTTCAGACCGCCGTCGACAGCTGGACAACGTCGCCCACGTCGTCCTCGTCGTCCATCTCCTAGGTCGTCGCTGGACGTGAGGCCGTTGGCCTCGCCGGACGTCGCGTCGAGCTTCTCCAGTGAGACTGGCTTGGGCGGATACGCTATGCGGCGGGCAGCGCCAACCTGCCCGGGATTGGCGCGGCTAGCAATGGGCTGCGACCTCTCGGAGGCGGCGGCGACGCTGCTGCGCGTCAGGGTCGTCCTGATGCTGACCTACGTCCGCGAGCCCGCGGTCATGGTGGAGCTCGCGCGCTAGCGCGCGCCGGCCGGGAGCTCCCGGCCGGCCGGGCCGGGCCCGGCGCACTGGCACCGACCTGTACACGTTGACGATGCGTAAGGCCGGCACGGCGTCCGAGAGCTCCACGACGACGCCGCTCTCGCCCTTCTGGACCGTGTACGCGCGCAGGCCGTCGCGCACGTACGTCGCGAAGCCGCCGCCCGTGTCAGTCTCGTAGGCCTTCTCGTGTAGCCCCCGGCCTACGAGCGAGTTCCGCGAGGCTCATCGACTTCGGCATCGAGATAGAGGCCAGCTCGCCCGACGCGCCGCTGCAGGTTCGCGGCGCGTCGCACCAATGGCTGCGCGCGCAATGCTCGCGACGACGCGCGCCTTCGCGACGCAACGACCGCTCCTCGCCGCGCGCGCCGCGGCGGCGACGCGCCTCGGCGCCACCAAACAGCGAACGCTCCCTTACGTGGCGACGCGGAGCCTCTTCGGCTTCGGCGGCGGCGCCGGCGGCGACGACGAGGACCCGGAGTCGAAGAAGGCGCGGCGGGACGTGGCGCGCGCCGTCGTCGACGCCGAGGCGCTCGCGTCGTCCGACGGCGACGGCGCGGTCGGCTCGAACGGCGGCGGCGACGGCGTGCTCGTCGGCGGCGGCGGCGGCGGCGACGACGGGTCGTCGCCGGCGAGCGTCGGCGTCGGCGACGACGCGCCGCGGCCCGAGCGCGTCGTCGCCCTCGGCCTGTCGCGGCGGCCGCTCTTCCCGGGCATGGTCCACTCGCTGTCCATGTCGCGCGCCGCCGCGGAAGCGCTGACCGCGGAGCGCGACGCCGGGCGGCCCTACGTGGGCCTCTTCCTGCGGCGCGACAGTAGCGGCGAGGACGAGGGCGGCAGGCCCGCGGAGCTCTTGGCCGAGCTCGGCGACGACCGGCCGCTCGACGCCTTGGTGCACGCGACGGGCGCGTTCGCGCAGATCCACAACGTCGCGGACACGCCCGACGGCAACGCGCAGGCGCTCGTGCTCGTGCACCGGCGCGTCGACGCGGAGCGCGTCGTCGACGGCGGCCCGCCGCCGACGCTGGCCGTCGCGCACTGGGACCGCGAGGCGTGGGACGACCAGGACGACGACGACGCCGGCGGCGACGCGAAGCGCGGCCGCCGGCGGTCGCGGAAGCGCGAGGCGAGCCGCGGCGATCTGGTGAAGGCGCTGAGCAACGAGATCGTCGCGGCGATCCGGGAATTGGTGCAGATGAACCCGCTCTACCGCGAGCACATGCAGTACTTCACGCAGCGCGTCGACATCGGCGACCCCTTCAAGCTCGCGGACTTTGCGGCGTCGCTGGCGACGGCGCCGGGCGACGAGCTCCAGACGTGCCTCGAGGAGCGCGACGTCGTCGCGCGGCTCCGCGCGTCGCTCGAGCTCGTGTCGAAGGAGCGCGAGCTCTCGCGGCTCCAGCAGGAGATCTCGAGCCAGGTCGAGAAGAAGCTCAGCGGCCAGCAGCGCACGTTCCTGCTCAACGAGCAGCTCAAGACCATCAAGAAGGAGCTGGGCGTCGAGACCGACGACAAGGACGCGCTCGTCGCCAAGTACCGGCGCCGCGTCGACGCGCTCGAGGGCGCCGCGGAGTCGGAGCAGGAGGCGGCGCCGGAGGCCAAGTGGGCCGGCGGCGTCATCCCCGCGCTCGCGCGCCACGCCATCGAGGAGGAGCTCGCCAAGCTCGCGGTGCTCGAGAAGAACTCCGCGGAGTTCAACGTCACGCGGTCCTACCTCGACTGGCTCACGGCGCTGCCCTGGGGCGCGGCGAGCGACGAGGCCTTCGACGTCGCCGCCGCCAAGAGCGCGCTCGACGCGGGCCACTACGGCATGGACGACGTCAAGGAGCGCATCCTCGAGCTCGTCGCCGTCGGGTCGCTCGTCGGCGGCGTCCGGGGCAAGATCCTCTGCCTCGTGGGCCCGCCGGGCACGGGCAAGACGTCCATCGGCGAGTCCGTCGCCGCCGCGCTGGGCCGCGAGTTCTACCGCTTCTCCGTGGGCGGCCTCGGCGACGTCGCGGAGATCAAGGGCCACCGGCGGACCTACGTCGGCGCGATGCCCGGCAAGCCCATCCAGTGCCTCAAGCAGACGCGGGCCATGAACCCCGTGATATTGATCGACGAGGTGGACAAGCTCGGGCGCGGGGGCGGCTCCGGCGGCGGCGACCCGGCGTCGGCTTTGTTGGAGCTGCTGGATCCGTCGCAGAACGCGACGTTCCTCGACCACTACCTCGACGTGCCCGTGGATCTGAGCCGCTGCCTCTTCGTGTGCACGGCGAACGACGAGTCGACGATCCCCGGGCCGCTCCTGGACCGCATGGAGGTCGTGCGGCTCGCGGGCTACGACCTGCGGGACAAGCTCGCGATCGCGCGCGACCACCTGGTGCCCCGGGCGCTCAAGGAGGCGGGCCTCGACGGCGATCTGGAGATCGAGGACCGGCCGCGCTTCACGGACGCGGCGCTGGAGGCCCTGGCCAAGGGCCACGCGCGCGAGGCGGGCGTGCGGAACCTGCAGAAGTTGGTGGAAAAGGTCGCGCGGAAGCTCGCGTTGCGCGTCGTCCGCGACGGCGACGCGGCGGCGGAGGCGACGCGGCCCGAGGGCGACACCGGCGGCGGCTACGTCGTGGACGAGGCGAACCTCGACGACTTCGTCGGGCCGCCGCGGTTCTCCAAGGACCGGCTCTACGACGGTTCCGTTGATACGCCCCCGGGCGTCGTCGCGGGCCTGGCGTGGACGTCCATGGGCGGCGCGACGCTCTACGTCGAGGCGACGAAGCTGGGGGGGCTGAGCGCCGAGGAGGGCAAGCCGCTGCCGGCGCCGCGTTTAACGACGACGGGCCAGCTGGGCGGCGTCATGGAGGAGAGCAGCCGCGTCGCGCTCAACTACGTCCGCGGCCGCCTCTTCCGCGAAGACTCGGGCGCCACGCTCGACGGGTCGGACCTGCACGTCCACTTCCCCGACGGCGCGACGCCCAAGGACGGGCCGTCGGCGGGCGTGACGCTCGCGACGGCGCTGCTCTCGCTCGCGTCGGGGATCCCCGCGCGCCAGGACCTCGCGATGACGGGCGAGATCTCCCTCACGGGCAAGGTCCTGCCCGTCGGCGGCATCAAGGAGAAGGTCATCGCCGCGCGGCGCGCGAACATCCCGGCCGTGATCCTCCCGGCGGAGAACCGGAAGGACTTCGACGAGCTGCCCGACTACCTCAAGGACGGCATGGAGGCCCACTTCGCGACGACCTACGACGACGTCTTCGACCTCGCCTTCAAGACGGAGGGGTAATCTTAGGGGGTTCTGAGCGCGCGAGCGAGCGCCGGCGGCGCGGGACCGTCAAAACTTGCAGCCGCTGCCGGGCTGGCAGTCGGCGCCCGTCATCATGCGGACCTCCATCTCGTTGTCTCCCGGAGCGGCACCGGGTTTCAGGACGGCCGCCATGATCGCCTGCACCACGGGCGGGCCGATGTGCGGGGGCTGCACTACGACGTTGACGCTGACGGCCGCGTACTTTGCGCCGGCCTGGCCGCGGAACGAGAGGCCGTAGCCCTCGATCTTCTTCGACACCGTCATGGCCACGAACGCGGAGCCCAGCTTCTCCTCGAGGTTGGCGGCGCACGACGCGAGGACGGCGCGAGCCTCGTCGTCAATCGGCAGAGTAGCCGCCGCCGAGTGATCAAAGGGGCCGCCGCCGAACGACGCCATTGGATCAGCTGCGGTGGGGGCTGCGGTGGGGCTGCGGCCGTGGTCAGAGGATCAAGCTGCGGGTGTATGGGGGTCGGGTGTACCTTCGGCGCGACGAGGGTACAGGCGACGCGGTGGTCGGCGGCCAGGTCGAGGTCGGACTGCGAGACTCGTCAACACGGGCTGCTCGAGGCAACCGTGCAGCAACATCGAGTCAGCACGGGCTGCTGAGGCAACCGTGCAGCAACATCGTGTTGGCGAGCAAAATTGAATCTAGCGAAGTCGACGATCAACGTCGCATCCGGTCATCGCCTGAGTCGCCTATTGCAGCGACGCAGCAACGACCATGGCCCGCAAGCGCCTCACCATCAGCAGCGGCCTGGAGCAGTACGCCAACGCACAAGCGCAAAGCACCTCGGCGACCATGGACGCCGAGACCGCAAAGGCGGAGGCGCTGGCCCACCTCCGCGCCCGCGAGCACCTCCAGACCATCGACGAGCTGCGCAAGGCGCTCGCCGTCGTCGCCACGAACACGGGCGTCGACGTGCTCCACGCCGGCACGCCCGCGCCCTTCGCCGCCGCGGCGCGCACGGTCCTCATGGACGCGTTCGGCGGATGCTCCGGCGCCGAGGTCGAGGAGGCTATCGCCGGCGCCGCGTGCAACGCGACGGACCGGAGCTTCGTCGTCGCGACGCGCGACGGCGACGCCGTCGCCGCCGCGGGCGTCGTCGTCGAGCACCGCTTCCGCCGCGCCGACGGGTCGGCGGCCGTGACGTGGGAGCTGCTGTGGCTCGCGTGCCCCGAGCGGCGCCGCGGCGGCGGCGGCGGCGGCGCGGCCTGGGCGGCCATCGCGCGCGTCGCCGCCGTGCGCGGCGTCGACGGCATCCTCGTGCCGTCGACGGACGCCGCGCTGCTCTTCTGGGCCCGCCGCGCGACGCCCCGGTGCCCCATGTCCCGGGTCGTGCTCCGAGAGGAGGCCGAGGCCGGCGACTGGATCGCGCGGTCCGCGAACCTCCAGAAGAAGGGCCACGTGCACCGCGTGCGCAAGCTCGTCGCCTACCGGAAGCTGCAGATCTGCGCGTCGCCCTTCTCGGCCAAGGCCGCGGCGCCGCTGAAAGCCCTGTACGCGCCGCGCGCGGCGACGGCGAGCCTGCCCGCGCCGTCCAAGGGCGGCCGCCGGGGCAAGGCCCGCCGGGGCGCCGTCGTCGCCGCGCCCTTCGAGGCGGAGCCGAACCGCTGGAGCCCGCGCGCGGCGACGCACTTCTGGTTCTTCCCCGGCGGCGCCGCGCCCGTGCCGACGCTCGCGGACTCGGGCGAGGAGCCCGCGCGCGTCGAGGTCACGCGCATGGACCCGCGGCCCCGGGGCGACTCCTTCTTCGAGGTCCGCGAGGCCCGCGACCGCGCGGACTCCTACGTCCTCGTCGAGCGGCCGCGCGCGGACTCGACCTTCGAGGACGCGCCCGTCGTCGTCGGCGGCTAAAATCCTTCCTTTTTGCGAACATAGAAGCGTGCCGGGGACACGTCGCTTTTCTAGAGCACGCGGCGGTCGGCTTTTGGATCGAATTAGAAAGCGCGCGTCGATTTGAAAGTGTCGATGTCGGTGAGTGCGCTGCAGGGCGGGGCCTCGCGCTTGTGGATGTGTTCCGAAGACCTCAGTCGAGGTCGAGCTGCTTCGTCGCGGGGTCCTTCCGCGCCGAGTTGCAGGCGAAGAAGCGGGACAAGCCGCGCTTCTTCTTCTTCCGCGTCGTCGTCGCCGCCCCGGCCTGCGCCGGCGTCGCGGCCTCGGGCGTCGCCTTTTGCTCCTCCGTCGGCTGCCCGGACACGATGCGGTTCAGCTTCTTCGACGGCGTGCCGAGGAGGGGACTCGCCGCACCAGTCAATGTCCTTGAGGCTTCAATCGTCAACCTTTTCGACGCCTTGTAGCCGTCCTTGAGGCCGTCCGCGACGTCGTTCGCCGCGGAGTGCAAATTCGACGAGAGCTCGTCGCCCGCGTCGCGGAAGCCGGAGCCCAGCGTCACGGACCCCTCGACGATGGCCCCCTTGAGGTCGCCCTTGGCGACGTGGCGGCCGGCGACGCCGAGGCCGCCGACGACGCCCGCGACGACGTGGCCCGCGGAGCCGAGCGCGCCGGCGACGACGTGCCCCGTGGACTCGGCGACGCCGCCGACGACGTGGCCGACGCCGGGCACGTAGCGCGCGGCGTCGGCGACGCCGCCGAGGAGCGCCTGGGCGCCGTCGGAGGCGCCGTCGAGCACCGCGCGGCTCGCGCCGACGACGCCCTCCGTGACCTCGCTCGCGCCGTCGTAGAAGCCGCGCGAGACGTCGCGGACGTTGCCCTTGGTGATGCCGTTGGCGACGCCCTCGATGGCCGTCTTCGCGCCGGACGTGACGCCGCCGACGACGCACTTGCCCGCCGCGAGCGCGCCGAGGCCCGCGGCGCCCGCGACGCCCGTCGTGCCCTGGATGACGTGCTTGCCCGGCCCCCCGAGCTTGTCCGCGAGCATGTCCACGGAGCCGAGCGTGTGGCCGATGGCGTGCTCCGCGCTCGACGCCGCGTAGCGGAAGGCGCCGTTGACGCCGTCGAGGCCCGTCGACGCGAGCGCCTTGACGATGACGCGCTCGAGGAAGAGGCCGAGGCCGCGCCGGCTCTGGAAGACGCGCGGCGCGACCGTGGCCTGGGACATGGTCAGGGCGAGGAGGGGCCGGTAGTCGTACTGGAAGGCGTGGTCCTTGCCGCCCGGGTGCTTGAGGTTCTTGGGCTGCGCGGACGACGCGAGCTTCGAGAGCACGCCGTCGTACGTCGTGCTGAACGCCTTCGAGATGCGCTTCTGCTTGCGGTCGCGGCTCCGGACGCCGTACAAATTCACGTGGACGTCGGCGATGGTCGCCTTCTCGAAGCCCACGAGCCCCTCGCCGTCGTCGTCCTCGTCGCCGACGGGTTCTTCGTCCTCGACTTCTTCCTCGCCCGTGAGCGCGCCGATGACGCGCTTGAGGTTCGTCGTCTTGAACTTGGCGTCGTAGGCGACGACGTTGACGATGAGGTCCGTCAGGTCCACGTGGATCGTGAGGAAGCGGCTCGACGCCGGCTCGAGCGCGGGCGACGCGTCGGCCGCCGGCGGCGCGGTTTGCGGCTCGGCCCCGGGGGTCTTAGACGGCGTGAGGTAGCCCGTGACGTGCCTGCGCCCGCCGGCGAAGAACTTGGCGACGGGCTCGGACGCGGACCGCAGGGTGCGCGTCGGCGTCGTCGGCGCCGACGGGTCGCTCCTCCGCTTCGGCGTCGCCTTCGGCGGCGACCGCGCCGGCGGCTTCGGCGAACCGTTCTTGGGGGATTTCATCGACGGCATCTTCGAGACCGTGCGCGCGAGGGCCGGCCGCGCGCCCTTGACGAGGTCGCGCAGGCGCCGCTTCTTCTTCAGCCGGTGGTCCGGGTGCCAGGCGTTGGACAGCGTGACGGTCGCGTGCTTGATCATGAACGCGCGCTCCTCCCTGCGCCGCGACGGCGGCGGCGTGAAGAGCGTGAGGCGGTGGACGTCGAGGACGATCTGGATCACGGGCACGTAGCCGCACTGGCGCAGGCGCCGGCCGACGCGCCCCAGGTCGTAGCAGCGCGCCCAGACGTCGCGCGGCTCGCGGAGCGACGCGAGGAACGACGTGAAGACGGGGTCCCAGGCGATCTGGGCGTCGATGCGCTCGGCCTCGAACTCGAGGTCGAGGAAGTAGGGGGCCAGCAACGTGCCGACGACGTAGCACCGGTGGATCCACGCGTGGCTCAGCAGCGTGAAGGCCACGAAGAGGCAGAGGCCCAGGGCGTTGTTCACGAAGCGGACCGACGGCGGGACGACGACGGCCGCGACCCAGGACGCCTCCGTCGCGGCGAACCAGGCCCAGGAGAGCATCGCCGTGGGCAGGTCCGCCATCGAGGGGCTGCGCTAGGTGGGGTCGCCCACGAGCACCATCTGTACCATCGATCAACGTTTCTTGATCGCCTCACCATTCTTTTTCAACATCCCTTCAACAACTAGTCCAACGTCTTCTCAGTGGCCAGCAATGATGGGCTGCCTCTCCCTGTGCTTCGGGGATTCGGCCATTGCGTCGTCGTCGTCGAGCCTCCCGCCGCCGACGCTCGTCGGCGACCGCGCGGCCTACGACGCGGGCCTCGCGAAGCACCTCATCCAGCACTCCACCCCTCACCGCGTCGAGCTCACGCTGACCGCCGCGACCATCTTCCTCGAGCGGGCGCACCACGCCCAGAAGGTCGTGCAGGCCCGCAAGGACAAGGGCTGCGAGTCGAACGTCGCCCTCGTCCGCGGGCCGTCGGCCGTCGAACGGGACGCGGAGCAGGCGCGGTCGTCGTTCTCGCGCGAGGACGCGATCGCCGACGGCCTCAAGCTGCTGCGGCAGCGCGCGGCCCACGTCAAGGTGAAGGTCGTCCACATGGAGGACGACGGCAACTGCCAGTTCCGGAGCCTCGCGCAGGAGCTCTACGGCGACCAGAAGTACCACGGCACCGTCCGCGAGCGCGTCGTCGCGCGGCTGACGTCGCACTCCCTCGAGTACTCGTTCTACATCGGCGACGACGACGAGTGGCGGCGCTACCTCGCGAAGATGGCGACGTCGCGGACCTGGGGCGACGAGCTCACGCTGCGCGCGGCCTGCGACGAGTACGGCGTCGTCGTTCACGTCGTCACCACGGAGCACGAGAACTGGCTGCTCCACTACTCGCCGGACAGCCTCGCGATGGCCGACGGCCGGCCGCCGCCGGGGACCCGCGAGTGCTTCCTCGCCTACGTCTCGCCCATCCACTACAACGTCATCGAGCCCCTCGACGGCGCGCACGCCGCGTCCCCGACGGGCTACTGAGGACCGCGCGAGGGGATTGCGTGAAAATTTGCTCGAAGTCATTGAACCTATGGTAAGCGGTCCGGGCAGCCGCGGCGCTCACGCTTAATCACGACCTTTGGTTGAAGTACTCGATGCAGTCGTGCTGAAGTTTTGATGTCGAGCTCGAGCCCTTGGAGCCTCGCGCGCGCGCACCGCGCCGTCGCCCCACCGATGCCCGAGCAGACGGAGCTCTACGTGCGCGGATCGGTAGCGGAGAACGACCTCGAGCCGCTGCTCGTGAAGCTGCGCATGCTCTGCGAGCCGGCGCGCACGGCGCTCTTCTGGTACGACGAGCAGCTCCTCGCCGCGCCGGACCTGCCCGTGCGCGAGCGGCCCCTGAAGCGGCGCAAGACGGCGGGCCAGCTCTTCCGCCTGCGGCGGACGCGCGAGCTCGCCCTCGGCGACGACGGCGCGGGCCGCGCGCTCTGCGGCGCCGCGGCGGACGAGTTCGCCGCGGCGGGCGTCGACCTGCCGGAGCCCGGCGGCCGCGTCGTCGTCGAGCGGTCCGCGCTCTACCGGCCCGGCGAGGACGCCGCGCGGCGGCGCCACCGGTCGTCGTCGACGGGCGGCGCCGACGCGCTCGCGGGCCTCGGCCTCGTCGAGCGGCCCGGCGCGCGGTCCGTCTCCGGCCGGAGCTACGGCCACGCGAGCGGCTGCGTCGCCAGCGTGCTCCGGTCGTCGGACGCCGACCACACGCTCGTCGAGCTCAAGGTCGCCGCGCCCGAGCCCAAGGACGAGGCGCCCGCGCGCGCGGCGCTCCTGAGGCTGCGCGCCGCGCTCCGGCCCCAGCTGCGCGACGTCGAATGACGGTTAGGGACTCCGCTTCTGGACGAGGATGACGGCCGTGGGCACGAGCCCCGCGCCCTCGAGCGTCGCGGCGTCGTCGCCGTAGGCTTTGGCCGGGAACGCCGTGCGCACGTCGTAGGCCGGCGCGGCCGCGCCGAGGCGCGCGTCGATCTCCGACCGGAGGTCGCCGACGCAGGCGTCGTAGCCGAGCTTGACGACGAACTTGGTCCCCGTGTGCGTGCGCACCTGCAGCGTGGCGATGCGGTCGTCGGCGTCGCTCGCAAAGGCCACGGGCGGCGCCGCCGGGTCGCCCGCCAGGCGGCGGCGCACCGCCTCGCGGACGTCGACGACGCGGCCGTCCGCGCTCACCGTGCTCGCCGGCAGCTTCGCGAGGAGGGCCTCCGGCGCGACGGGCGCGATGTCGCGGTCGCCGACGTCGGCGAGCGTGCGCACGCGGCGGCCCGTCGCGCGGCCCGCGCCGCCGAACGCCTCGCCGTAACTCGCGTACTGTTCGCTCGAGACGTCCTTGACGTCGAAGGGCACGCCGTCCGGGTAGCGGTCCTTGAACTCCGCGGGGAAGTAGCCGTCCAATACGTCGTCCACGAAGGCCCGGCACGTCGGCGACCCGTAGGGCCGGAAGGGCCCGCCGTTGATGAGCAACCCGTCCGCGTAGACGGCGACGCGCTCGCCGTCCTTGAGCTTGAACCGCGCGCGCGTGCCCTCGACGTGGACCTGGGGCCGGTCGCCGAGGACGCGCGCGTTGAGCACGCGGAGCGCCTCGACGAGGCGCGCCGTGTCGACGCGCGGCGCCGCGGGCCGCGTCGCCGACCGCGGCGGCTCGTCCGTTGGTTTGTCCTCCCGTGTCGGCCGCGTCGCGTCGCCGCCGACCCATACGAGGCCGTAGTCGCTCAGGAACTTCTCCATCTCCCGGAGCCGCGCCCGGAGCGCGTCGTTCTCCTCGTAGAGCTCGTCCTCGTCGCCGTCGCGCGCGCGGAGCCGCGCGACCTCGTCCCGGAGCCCCGCGAGCGCCTCGTCCTTCGCCGCGGCCTCGTCGCGGAGATGGCGCAGGCTCGCCTCGAGCTTGCCGAGCCGGCCCGCCATCTGGGCCACGAGGTCGTTGGACGCCTGCGGGTCCGGCCGCGGCGACGCGTCGAAGCTCGGCACGTCGGCGCAGCCGTTGAGGATCTGCTCGAGCATCTTGCGCTCGGCGCTGTGCGGGTCCTCGGGCTTGGCGTAGGCGAGGGCCGCCGGCTCCGGCGCGTAGGGGCCCCGCTGCTTGTTCAGCGCGTCGCGGAGCTTCTCCGGCATGGGCTTCTTGGGCGGCGGGACCATCGTCGTTGCGGGCAGCGTCCAACGGCACCGTTGGCTTCGCGCAGCGCTCGACGATGGGGGGGCTGCCCCTGCCGCCGGAGGACGTCGTGGCGAACCTGCCCGGCGCGTCGCCGCCCGTGCCCGGCGACGAGCCGGAGGACCGCGAGCCGGAGCCCTTCGTCGACCCCGTCGCCTTCCTCGAGGGCCTCATCTCCGACCGCGTGCTGCGCAAAGCCCTCCACCCGAGCGCGCGGGCCGCCGTCGAGTCCATCGCGGTGTCCGTCGCCTACAAGGGCACGGACAGCCCCCTGGCCGTCGCGACGAGCCTGCTCAAGGTCGGCGAGATCCTGAGGGCCGCCGCGGAGCGGCGCGAGCGCGCGCTGGCCCTCGCGGCCGAGAGCTTCCGCGTCGCGCTCGCGCTCTTCGGCGAGGCCGTGGGCCGCGACCACCACGTCACGCTCAAGGCCCGCATGGCCCTCGGCGAGACCCTCGCGGCCGCGAACCGGCGGCCCGAGGCCGCCGTCGAGTTCGAGACGATCATCGAGACGCTCGCCGAGCAGGACCCGGAGTCGCCGCGGCTCGAGACCGCGCGGCGCAACCTGGCGAAGCTCGACGCCCACCCGACGCTCGCCGCGACGATGCACCGCGCGACGCGCAAGGACCGCGAGAAGAAGGGCGCGGGCATCGAGAAGGAGGACCCCGTGCTCTACGGCCGCTTCGCCGGGCGCGACCCGCCGGCCGACGGCGACGCGCTGCCCCTCGACGCCGCGCCGGCGGCCGACGCGCCGCCGAAGCCCTGGGCGCCGCCGGACCCGGACGCGGACGCACCCGACCCGACGAAGCTCGGCCTCGAGCTCGACCCCTTCATGTCGGCCAACGACATCCGCCGCCAGCGCCTCCGGAAGAAGTGGGCCCAGATCGAGGGGCTCCGCAACGACGCGCCGATCCTCTATGGGAGGTACACGGGCAAGACGCCGCCCCTCGACGGCGACGACCCGGACGGCGACGGCGAGGACGAGGCCGCGGCGCTCGACCACCTCCCCGGGAGGCTGGTGCTGGCGGAGACGTAAGATTCGCACGGTCGCATTGGTGGGCGTCTTCGGCTTTTAGTTTTAGTCGACCATCCAGGTGGGCATGGCGGCGCTGTCCTGCGTGCTCATGGACCGCGCGGGGACGTCGTCGCGGTCGCTGCGCCAGAAGGCGAGGACGTGGCCGAAGACGTCGCCGGGCGCGTCCAGGAAGAGCCGCTCGTGCGCGCGCACGCTCGACGACGGCGCCGCGCGACCGCGCGCGCGGAGGGCCGGGAGGCGCTGTCGGAGGGCGAGCAGTTCCTTGCGCGGCGCGTTGATGTAGGGGAGCCAGCCGCCCGCGGCGCGGACGGCGGCGAGGAAGTCGGCTGTGGTCGTGGGCGCGTAGGCCTCGGGGATATTGTCGGCGTTATCGCGCGCGTCGAGCGACGCGCCGCGACTTAGCAGAAGCTTGCAAAACTTGGAGTGATTTTTCCGGGCTGAGATGTGGAGCGCGGTCCGGCCATTCCCGTCGCGATCGTCGACCCGCGCGCCCGCGTCGAGCAGCAGGACAGCCGCATCGCGATGGCCTTCCCAAGAGGCGATGTGGAGTGGCGTGTGGGGGTTGGATGGAACCCCCAAGTTGACGTCGGCGCCGAGTTTGAGGAGTGTTTTAATGGCCGAACAGTAGCCTCGAAACGCTGCATTATTCAGGCGAGTCCCTCCACGTCCGTGCGGTGCATCCTCGAAGAGCACGCCACCACTTCCGTCGCCTCTCACGCGAACAAGCGCATCAATGTCGCCGCCCGCAACGTGAAAGCGCTCAGTTTGGTCGATGAACGAATGCTCCTGAGAGCTGTCCATCGTGTTGCCCGGGCTGCTGGCCAAAGGTGAACCTGTCGTGAAGCAGAATTGAGGAGGAAAGGATCGCATGGGAGGAGCTTGAAAGCGCCGACAAAACTCGAGAGACTTCACACTCCGCGGCCCCTCGAGCATGGTCAAGCGCCTCAAAGGCAAAGCGCGACCGGAGACGCCCGAGGAGAAAGCAGCGCGCATCCAAGCCTTGAAAGACGCCGAGAAATACCTTCCAGTCGTGTACGCCCTCATCGCCGCGGCCGTCGGCGGCATCGCCCTCTATTTCAAGTACCTCGGCGCGTGATGCTCGCCGCCGTCGCGCTGCTGGCCTGCGTCGCGCGCGCCTGGTCGCCGCTGCCGCCGCGCGCGCGGCTGGCGCTGCGGCAGGAGGACGCGCTGCGAGACGAGTGCGCGGCGGCGGCCGCCGGCGCGAGCCGCTTCGAGCCGCATGTGTCCGAGAACCACGAGGTCGCCGCGGTCGTGCTCGAGGCCGTCGCGCGCGGCGACGACGCGACGACGACGCTCTGGTTCCCCGGCGTCGAGGACGCGGCCGTCGTCGCCGCCGTCGCGGGCGTCGTCGCGGCGAACGCGGACGCGCTCGGCTCTTCGGCCGCCGCGCGCCGCTGGCCGTCGGCGCCGGCCCCGGGCGTCGCGCTGTCGCCGAGCGGCGGGGAGGCGGCGGCGGAAGATCGCGGCGACGTGGGGCTCTTCAACTCGACGCGCGCGAGCGACGGCGCCGCGGTCGAGGCGTCGCTGCGGTGGGTCGACGACACGCTCGGCGCGCTCCGGCTCTGCCCCTACACGCGGGGCCGCGCGCGCGGCGCCGTCGGGCTCGAGGGCGTCGGCGTCGCGAGCGGGCCCGTCCGCGCCGTCGCCGCGGCGCCCGGCGCCGCGAGCCTCGCCGCCGCGTTCTTCCGCGCCGTCGGCGAGCTCACGACGACGCCGGAGCGCGATCTGGCGACGACGCTGCTCGTCTCTCCCGCCTACGACGGCGACTTCCTCGGCTTCGTGGGCGTCTGCGACGGCGTCGTCGAGCCTCTGGTCGCGGCGACGGGCGCGGCGGCCGTCGTGGGGCGGGCCTGGTTCCACCCGTCGTACGAGGCGGCCGCCGTCGGCCACGACGCGCTGAAACCGGGCCACGCGCTCCCCTCCGCCGTGGTCCGGCCCTTCGTGGAGAAATACGGCGCGGGCGACCCGCCGTCGGACGACGCCCTCGCGGCGGCGAACGACGCGGTCCGCCGCTCGCCCCACGCGACGATCAACCTGCTCCGGCGGAGCCAGCTCGACGCCGCGCAGCGCCTCGAGGCGGCGCTCCCGCCGGAGCGGCGGCGGCCCAACCGCGTCTACGCCGCCAACGTCCAAACGTTCCTCGACTTACGCTAGGTCCGAGTCCTCGGGCTGTTTTAACGAGGTCGCGGCGGCGGCCCAACCGCGTCTACGCCGCCAACGTCCAAACGTTCCTCGACTTACGCTAGGTCCTCGGGCTTCTTCGAGGCGGCGTCGGGCGCGGCGGCGTCGTCCGGCGCGGCCGCGTCCTCCTTGGGCACGGGCGCGTAGACCCCCCGGTGCCTCCGCAGACCCCCGAGCCGCGTGCGGAGGGACGTGCACCAGGACGCGGCCTTGTCGTCGGGCTCGTCGCCGCCGCCGCAGAGCGCGCCGCGGAGCCGGCGGCCGAAGGCGCCGTGGGCGGCGATCTGCGCCAGAACCGCGGCGTCGACGGCGCACCGGAACCCGGCCGCGACGCGCCCCAGCCCCACCGCGGGCCCGAAAAACCGGCCCGCGTCCGCCGCGAGCCAGCAGCCGACCATGACCAGGCTCAGCCCCGCCGCGTCGCCGCGCCGGTGCGTGCGGACGACCTGCGGCAGGCCCGCCGCGGCGCGGAAGGCCTCGCCGCACGCGTAGACGGCGCCGTTGAAGTGGGGCAGCCGGTGGAAGCAGACCGTCGCCGCGCCGATGTAGAGCGCGAGGACAACGACGACCTCGACGTAGGGCGCGAGCTCGTCCCAGGCCCAGAACGTCGCCCGCAGCGCGCGGAGCCGCTCGCCCGCGAGGGCGCCGTCGCCCGAGACCCAGGCGCGCACGACGGCGCGCACCTCGCCCGCGAGCTTGCGGGACGTGGCGCCGTAGCGCGGCCCGCCGACGCCCTGGTTGAAGCGGCCCGTGACCGTGCCCTTCTTGCGCTTCACCGACACGACGGCGTCCAGAAGCAGCAGCTGCATGACGCCGCCGAGCGTCGTGGCGACGAGCGCGGCCAGGTCGCGCTCGTGGGACCCGGCCCAGGACGCGATGCGCAGCGCCGCGGCGACGAGCGTGAACAGGCACACGAAGGGCGCGAAGCCCTCCTTGCCGCCCCGCTTGATGACGTAGAACTGGGGCAGGTACGTCGCGACCGGCGCCAGCGCCGCGCCGAGGCGCACGAGCGCGTCGAGGAAGAGACCCCAGGCCATCGCGGTAATCGCTCGCGGAGTGCTCTAAACCGCGGAGCGATCACAGCACTTTTTATGCGTGCGCAAAGCGCATGCTTGCGCGGTTCATACGCATCGCGCTTCGGCAACAAAGCCTCTTGAACGCGATGCCGCCTTCAACTTGCCGACTCCGGGGACGTGTGCACGTCAAGCCCACCTTACGCGACGCGCGCGCTAGTTGCCCTGGGCCTTGTCGTAGAGCTTCTTCTGCTTCTCCCACTCCTTCTTGAGCTTCTTGAGGAGGGACTTGGAGAGGGGCTCGTTGGCCGCGTCGTGCGTCGGGACGCCGTCGGCGTCGAAGGCCGCGTACTTGGTTTCCCGGTCCTTGAACATGTCCTGGGGCCGCACGGAGGCCGCGGCCTCCTTGGCGGCCTTCTTCGCCGCGTCGAGGCGCTTGGCCTCCTCGCGGTTCGCGAGCTCGAGCGCCTTGAGCTGCTTCTCCGCCTGGGCAGGACAAGAGAGATTCAACGTCGCTTCAACGTGAGTGTTCCGCGCGCGCGCGTTCCGGAAAAAGCATCCACGCTTCGAGACTCTTCCGAGAGATGATCGCTCGTCCAAAAATCAGCCGAAACGAGTGGAAAACGGCCGAGAAAGGAGCCTTTGAAGTTGGGAATTTCGCTCTCTTGTCCTGCCCTGTTCTCCGCCGCGAGCACCGCCGGGTCCTCGAGCTTCCAGACGCTCGCCGCGCCCTTGTCCTCGAGGCGCACGCCCAGCGCCGGCAGCGCGTCGTCGCGGAGCGCGTCGCAGAGCGCGAGGACCTGCTGCGTGTCGCCCTCGCGGCCCGCGGCGCGGACGTCGTCGCGGAACGCCGCGATGACGTCCAACAGCGGCCCGAGCGCCGCCGCCGCGTCGCCGGACCCGAGCGCCGCCGCGGGCTTGTGGGACGGCGTCAGCTTGAGCCGCCGGAGCACGTCGTCGGCGCACAGACCCTCCAGGCCCAGGAGGTCCAGCGTCTCGCCGACGTAGCGCGCCGTCGCGCAGAGCGCGAGCGAGCAGGGCACGGCGCGCGACGCCTGCTTGGCGTCGAACTTCTGCAGGTAGGCCGACGTCGTGTCCACCAGCGTCTGTAAAGCCAACACCGCCCCCGGCGTGTCGAAGTCGTCGAGGAACCGCGCGTAGACCGTGTCTTGGGCTTTTTTCAACGCGGCCAGCAGCTCCTTGTCCTCCGCGCAGAGCTTCTGGCGCGAATCCGGGTCCGCGTCCAGCGGCCGCAGGGCGGCGGCGACGTTCAGGAAGTACTCCTTGAACTTCTTCTCGACGACGCGCGCGTTCGCGAGCATGTTGTCGCTGTAGTCGCACGGCGCGTTGTAGCTCACGAGGCAGAACATGAGCCGCATGGTCCGCGGGTGCACGGGCTCCGAGCCCTCGACGCCCTCGAGCCCCGCCAAGGCTTGCCCGATGGTGATGAAGTTCTTCAGCGACTTGGACATCTTGAGCCCCCGGATGTGCAAATGCCCCGTGTGCGCAAAGTAGTTCACCGTCTGCTTGCACGCGCAGAACGCCTCGCCCTGGGCGAGCTCGTTGTCGTGGTGCGGGAAGCGCAGGTCCACGCCGCCGCCGTGGATGTCGATGCAGCCCGCGGCGCCGCCGACGCCGCCGGAGCCGATCGTGTTGTCGATCATCGCGGAGCACTCGATGTGCCAGCCCGGCCGGCCGTCGCCCCACGGCGACGGCCACGTGGGCTCGCCGGGCTTCGACGCCTTCCAGAGCGCGAAGTCGCGCGGGTCCTTCTTCCCGCCGCCCAGCAGGATGCCGAGCTTGCCCTCGCTCTCGGCCATGAGCTCCGCGGACCCGATGGACTCCGGCACCAACTTCCCGTAGTCGTAGCCCGCCTTCCCGAACGCGACCGTGTCGAAGTAGACGCTGCCCTGGTCCGCGTAGGCGAAGCCGTTGGCCACGATCTTCTCCACGAAGGCGACGATCTCGGGCACGTACTCCGTGACCCTGGGCATCGACGTCGGCCGCTCGACGCCCAAGGACGTCATGTCCTCGAGGAACGCGTGCTCCCACTCGCGCGCTAAAGTCTCCGGGCTCACGCCGCGCTCCGCCGACCGCATGATGATCTTGTCGTCGACGTCCGTGACGTTCATGACGTAGTTGACGTCGTAGCCCAGCGCGTCGCGGAGGATGCGCCGCATGACGTCGAACTGCAGGTACGTCCGCGCGTGGCCGAGGTGGGCCGCGTCGTAGACCGTGGGGCCGCAGACGTACATGGTGATGACCTTGCCCAGCGGGTCCATGGGCACGAAGGGCACCTTACTGCGCGTAAGCGAGTTGTAGATCATCAGCTGGGGCTTGTCCGGCGGGCAGGGCGGGCACCACTTGCCGAAGACCTCCTCCTTGCGCGACTGGGCCAGGGCCGCCATACTGGTCGTCTCCGCGACCGACGGACGGCCTCGGGGGCGTCGGGCGAACGCGCGCGCGGGAGTTGTCGCGCCGCTACACGCCGGTCCGGACGCTGTGCAATCTGCGCTCGCCGATCGGACGCCGGGCGCGGCAGCTCCTCCGCAGCCAGTGCCGCCATGCGCTCCTCCGTGCGGCGGCTCCTCTCGACGGCGACGAAGCCGGTCATCGATGCGACGGCGCCGAAGCCGGGCGGCCCGCCCACGGGCGCCGTCCTGATCCCCATGGCCGCCCTGGGGTCCGCGCTCACGGTCGCGGAGCTCAGCATCGCCTACGAGTCGTCGGCGCCGGCGGGCGTGCTCGAGTCGGCGCCCTTCCGCCTCTACCGGGACGCGACGGGCCGCGGGGGGCTCGCGCGCGCGCCCGCGGTCGCGGTCGACGCCGTCGCGCCCGTCGCCGCGGCGCCGAAACCCGCGCCCGAGGCCGCCGCGCCCGCGCCCAAGGCCGCCGCGCCCAAGGCCGCCGCGCCGGCGCCGGCGCCCGCGGAACCGGCGCCCGCGACGCCGGACGTGACGGCGCAGGCCGACGCCATGGTCGCGGCCGTCGCGGCCGCGGCCGCGGCGGCGCCCGCGCCCGCGCCCGTCGCCGCGGCCACGCAGTGCGAGGCGGGCACGGACGACGACGTCGTGCGGCGCATCGCCGGGGGCCTCGACGACCTCACGGTCGCCGAGCTCGCCGAGCGCCTCGCGGCCATGGAGGCCGAGGCCGTGAATCGCACGCGGTGGGAGGCGTCGCGCGCCGCGAACGCGCGCGCCGAGGCCGTGGCCATCGGCGAGGCCCAGACGCGCGCGGCGGTCGAGAAGGCCGCCGAGGGCCTCGAGGCCGAGTTCCGCCGCGACGACGCCCTGGGCAAGGTCGCCTACGAGGCGCGGCTCCGCGTCGCGAAGGCGGAGATCGCCGACGAGACCGCGGCGCTCCTCGCGCGCGGCTCCAAGGAGCGGGCCATGCGCGCGGACTACCAGGGCGGCCGCGACGTGACGCAGGCCCAGGACCGCATCGCCTTTGGCGCATCCGTGGCCCTCGACGCGGACCGCGCGGCCGAGGCCCGGGCTTCCGGCGACGCGGCCCTGGAAGCCGTGCGCAAGCTCCAGGCCATCGCGAACGGCGTCGCCGCGGCGCACGAGGCGGCGCTGGACGTGCCCAGCGACGACCTCGCGGCCTGCCAGGCCCACGCCGTCGTCGCGCGCGGCGCCGTCGGCGCGACGCGCGCGTCGGGCGCGACGGCGGCCTACGACGCCGTCGCGGCCGCGGGGCTCACCTCGCTCAAGGAGACGGCGGGCGTACCGGCGCCGTCGCCGGCGGCCCTCGCGCGCCGCTGGGAGCGGAGCGTGCTGCCCGCGGCGCGCGCGGCCGCGCTCGCGCCCGACGCCGCCGGCGACGGCCTCTCGGGCGCCGCGCTGGGGCGCGCGTTCGCGGCGCTCCGCCTCGAGGGCGGCGCGCCGGAGCCGGGCAGCCCCCTGGCGGCGCTGGAGGCCGCGGACGGCCGCGTGCGCGCCGGCGACCTCCACGGCGCCATTGCCGCGCTGGCCGCGCTGCCGCCCCGCGCCGCGGCGCTCAAGGCCGTCACGGACGACTGGCACAAGGACGCGACGGCGACGGCCGTCCAGGCCCAGACCGACGCGCTCCTCGACGCCCGCGCGCTCCTCACCGCCGCCGCCCGCACCAACTAGGGACTTAAACGATCGGCGAGTCACGGTGGCTGAGGGGGACTTACAAGTATGTCGGCTAGTGGTTGCCGTCCCAGAAGCCGAGGACGTGCGCGAACACCTCGTCGGGGAGCGGCGTGCCCACGAGCCGCTTCGACCGCGTCCGCGCGGCGCCCTTGGGGATGGGGGCCGCGCCGAAAAGGCGTATGAAGTGCGGCGGGGCCCGCGCGCGGCCGGCGAGCGCGAGGTAGCGCAGGGCCCAGAGCTTCACGGAAGGCTCGCGAGAGTAGCGCTTCCACGAGCCCGCGGCGCGCACGGCGGTGAGAAGGGCGATCGTGGATTCCAATGCTTGAGACGTCTCTGGCTGGACAACAACATGTATTAGACGCTGCGCGATTTCGAGGACATCGTGACCAGACGCGTTGCGCACATCGAGAGAAGCTCCGTGCCTCAGCAGAACGAGGATAAGTTCCGAATCCTGACCCGTAGAGCGAGAGCCGAAGAGCTCGAGCCATAGAGCGAGTGCCGTAGAGCGAGAATGCGCGCTCTGAGCGTCGACGCGAGCGCCGTTCGCGAGGAGGAGCTCGGCCGTTTGTACGTCGCGGGCAAGATGCAAAGGATAAACAGGCTCTCCTCCGATGTTAGGGTCGGCGCCGCGCTCTAGTAGAAATCGAATCGTTTCGTATTGATGAGGTCGATTAGGATTTGCCATCGCATCCATCAAGAGAGTGTGTTGTCGTGCCCTACCCCAGGACACGTGAGAGTTGATGTCACCGCCTGCCGATAAATATGATCTTAGCACAGGTATGTCCCCGTTAATCAAGGCCGCGCAGATTTCAGGCGGCGCCTCCATGCCAAGTTTTTCACAGCTTTAAATTTATTTGGCCCAAAAGAGCGACGCTTTGCATTACGCCTGGCATTGCGCTGCACGAGGAGGCCTACGAGGCGTCGCGCGTCTCGCGTGAGAGGCCCGATGGTGAGCCTGGAAGAAGCCTCCGTGAGAGGCCAAACCTAAAACAGGCGATGGCTTGTCCGCACGCGTCGACGGCGGCGGGCCCGCGCTCGACGCGATCCTCGCGACCGTCGCCCAGGGTATTTCTCGCGGGGTCGCAGGGGCGGGAGAGACCTCCGGGGGGTGGTGAGAGTGGGAGATTCCCACGCAAGCCACCGCCGCGAGGGGTCGCGATCGAAGCTTTATACAGGGGCGGAAGCGCGCGGCGGCTCGTCCGCGGCGGTCGTCGAGACCGCCGCGGGGCGCGCGCGGGGGTCGGGGGCATGGGGAAGCGTGGGATGCTGCGGCGGCCTACTCGGCGAGGGACCGGGCGGGCGTCGTCTTCGGGGCCGCCGGCTCGCCGAGGCCGGGGAAGAGCGCGTCCGTCGACGCCGCGGCCGCGGCGCCGAAGGAGAGCTCGGCGAAGAAGGCCTTGTGGCTCGCGAGCTGCTTCTCCTTCTTCGACGCCTTGAGCGTTTTGAACCAGGCCTCGGCCTTCCATGCGGCGACGTCCTCGGGCGACATCACGACGCTCTTGGCCGAGAACGCCTCCGCGGCGGTCACGGGCGGGTCCGACCGCGGCGCGCGCGGCGCCGACCGCGACTGCTTGTGGGTCTCCATCCAGGCCTCGGCCTTGGCCGCCACGACCTCCTCGTGGTGGGTGTTGGACCAGGGCGAGAAGGCTTTCGACGTATCCAGGTCCGCGGGCGATTCCGCCGACGCGCGCGCCGTCGAGCGGTGCGCGGCGGCGTTGGGGGCGAAGGCCGAAGTGCTCGAGGCACAGAGGATGAGTGCGGGGACGGTGTAGCGCATAGTTTCGGGGCGGTAACGAGTGTTGATGGCGCTGGGACCTTGATTCTGAAGCCGAAGCGTGCCGAAGCCGGCTTCGGATCGGCTTCACAGTGCCCTCACTGCGACCGCGGGCACCGCTCGTCGAGGCCTTCGTCGTTGACGGACACAGCGGACGGGTCGGACCAGGCGTGCAACACGTCGTTCGCGGAGTGGGGCGCGCCGCGAACGCGCCGCGGAGCCCGGCGCGATCGGCGGGCAGGACCCGAAGAAACAGGGTTCGTCGAACGGTGACTTCCGCCGCGCTTTGCCGACGGAGAGCAGAGTTGCGAGCCGCGTATCCTACGTCATCGAATTTAAGGCCCTGGAGCTCCCGGCGCCGCCGTGGGCAGGGGCCGCGTCGCCGCGGGCCCGGCGCCGCGCCAGCTCGGCGGCGGCCGCGTGCCGCCGTCGAGCAGGAAGGGCAGGATCCGCTCCTTCCAGAGCACGCGGGCGACGCGGCGCTCGCGGCGGAACATGAGGAGGTAGCAGGCGACCTCGTTCGTGAGCCGCGACACGTAGGTGCGCAGCTCCGGCCGGAAGAGCCGCGGCTCCGGGGCCCAGCCCCGCGGCACGTCGGCGTCGTAGGTCAGGAGGTAGGGCAGGACGCGGTTCAGGTAGAGCCGCTTCGCGTAGCTCGGCTCGCGCCGCCACATGAGCGTGCGGACCATGACGTCGTTCGTGAGCCGCGCGACGTACGCGCGGACGACGGGGTCGTGCTTGCCGTGCTGCGCGGGCGACCAGCTTGTCGACGCGCACTCGACCTTGTGGCCCGCGCGCCACGCGTCCGCCTGGCACCGCCGCGAGCAGTAGTTCACGCAGACCCGCCGCGCGCGCCAGCAGGGGCGGCAGTAGGTGAGCTTCGTGCGCTCGACGTCCTGGACGCCCACGAGCTTGCACCAGCTGCAGGTCTCGCCGTCGCTGCGGGTCTGGGCGCTGAAGGAGACCCGCATGGGTGGGCGGTGCGGGCGCCGCGGCGCGACGCTGCGGGCGGCGACGGCCGAAGCCGATGCTCGCCTCTCGAGCAAAGGTGCCGGGCGCCGCGGCGCGACGCTGCGGGCGGCGACTGCGCCGAGCCGACCTCGGGCAAAGGAGCAGCGACGTTGAGGCTTCCCTTGTCGTGGTTGAACTTTCGGGCATCCACGGCCACGACTCGGCTTATGGACTTCCCGGAGACGCACGAGACGCTGGCGTCGACGACGGTCTTCTTCCACGAGGACCTGCGCCCCTGCGGCGGCGCCAAGAGCGCCCACAGGATGTCGTCCGTGGGGCTGCCCGCGGGCCTCGGGCACCGGGGCGTGGCGCCGGGCGCCTGGGCCGCCTTCGCCAAGGAGCTCGGCGACCTGCCGGGTCTGGGCCCCACGGGCGCCGAGTCCTGCTGCCCCTGCTGCGTGGCCTGCGTCGGCCGCTTTGGCGGCGCGCGGCGCGACTGGGCCGTGCACGCGGACGCGCTCTGCCGGCGCCGGCGGGCCCTCTTCGAGCCGCATGGCATCCAGGCGCGCGCCATCGAGCGCTGCGCGGCGCCCAACGGCTGGGCGGGGCCGGCGATCCTCTTTTCCTGGGCGCCGGGGAACGACGCTGCCGCTCTCTCGTCCAGCTACGACCCCGCATCTGGGACGATGGCCGTCGCCGTACCGCCGGGCACGCCCCTGTGTGGAAATCAAATCTTCAAGCGAACTTCAATGTGACGCGAGTTCTTCGGCTGTGCCTCGAGAACTCAACAAGAGCAATCGATCCGTCCAAAAATCAGCCAAATCGACTTCGATTTGACCGAGCTAGAGAGTTCTGAAGTTTGGTGGGGACCCCCCAAACCAGTGGTTGATTTCCACACAGGCACGCCCGGCGGCGCGACGCTCCAGGTCGCGGCGCCCGACGGCCGCGTCGTCGACGTCCACGTGCCGGACCCGCCGCCGAAGGAGCTCACGGTGGACCTGCCGCCGCCGACGCCGCCCCAGGTCGCCGCGGCGCCCGCGGCGCCGCCCGCGGCGCCGGCCATGGCCCGCGGCGCCGTCGCCGACGCGACCTAACCGTTCTTTGTGTGTGGCACCGCCGAACCTTACCCCCGCGGGCTCGCGGGCGTCGTCGGGACGCGGCTGAGCGTCTTCACGGGCTCGACGAGCTTCGGGTCGACGGCGAGCGCGATCTCGAGCTTCGTCCGGGGCCGGGGCGGCCTCCGCGCGCGCGGCGAGTCGAGGCGGCGGCTCGGCGGGCTCGCCGTCGGCTCGCCCGGCGCCGTGTCGAGCCGGTACTGGGACACGGAGTAGGCCGAGCTGCCGCGGTACTCGGAGTCGAACGAGTGCGCCGTGCCCGGCTTCGAGCCGCCCTCGCGGAAGAGGCGCGTCCGCGACGTCGGCGACACGCGCCCGAGCTCCAGCTGCTCGCTCCAGTTGACGCGCCGCGTCTCGAAGGTCGCGAAGGTCGCGTCGACGGACGTGTCCAGGAGCTCGTTGAGCTTCACCAGGGGCGTCGGCGAGTGCGCGACGACGACCTCCGGCGGCGCCTTGTGCAGCCGGCGCTCGTAGACCCGGAGCTTGCGCTCCTCGGCGTCGCGCCGCGCCTTCAAGCCCCCCAGCGCCTCGATGGCGGCCTTGGCCGACGTCGCGGACGTCGCGAGCGTCTCGTTGAGGCGCGCCGTCGCGCGGATCGCGCGCGGCAGGCTCAGCTCGCCCTCCACGGGCGCCGACGCGACGCTCCGGTCCTCGCGGTAGGTCTGCAAAAAGTCGGCCAAACGTCCGAGGAGCTCGTCCGGCGGCGCGCGCGCGACGCGCCGCAGCGCCGCGCGGTCGCCGCGCGACGGCGGCGGGAGCCCGGACGCGGGCGCCTGGGCAGCACAAGGGTGATTCAACATCGCTTCAACGTGAGTGTTCCGCGCGCGCGCGTTCCAAAGAAAGACGTTCACGTTCGAGGCCGTTCCGAGAGATGATCACTCGTCCAAAAATCAGCCGAAACGAGTGGAAAATGGCCGAGATATGAGCCTTTGAAGTTGGGAATTTCGCTCTCTTGTGCTGCCCTGGCGGGCGCGAAGAGCCCCCCCTCGACGTCCGCGACGAGGCCCGCGGCGAGGTCGTCGTCGTCGCAGCAGGCGAAGGTCACGACGACGCCCCGGGGCGCCGACGGGTCGTGGGAGAAGAGCTCGCGGACCGCGGTGTCGCCGACCGTGCCCTCCAGCGCGCCCCGCGCCTCGGCGAGCGCGTCGTCCGCGGTCCGCAGGATGGCGTCCTCGAGCTCGAGCGACGGCTGCGGCGACGACACGGACGTCCCCTCGAGGCCGCGGAAGAGGCCGAGGGAGTCGCCCTCCGTCGACGGTTTGCTGAGCTCGCCTAAACGCTGCGCGGTCTCGAATTCCTTCGGGAGCACGGCGCGCGCGAACGGCGTGAGCCCGCGGAAGAGGTAGGACTGCTTCGTCGACGCGTGCTCCGCCGCGGCGAGCGTCGCCAGGAACTCGTAGCCGTGGCGCACGTCGACGCCGCCGACGCCGACGACGCCGCAGGGGTACGTGAGCCGGGGCTCGTCGCCCCGTTCGACGATCGCCGGGCAGCGCCGGTCCGCCAGGACCCGCAGCCCCCAGGAGGCCAAGACATCGAAGCGGCAGTCGACGCGCCGGCCGAGCCGGCGGAGCACGCCGTCGAGGAGCTCGCAGGCCTCCGCCGTCGCGGCGCCCGCGGGCGCCGCGGAGCTCGCGAGCGTCGTCGCGTCGTCGAAGAGCGCCCAGTCGGCCACGTCGCCGCCGCTCGCCACATCCATCTGCCAGCCCAGGGGCCGCGCCCAGCCCCCGGCGGCGAGCGCCTCGCGCATCGCCGCGAAGACGAGCACGCGGGACATCGCCGCGGCGAGCTCCGGCGGCGCCCGCGGGTCCAGCGGCTTCGGCACGTTCCGCACGCTCAAGAGACCCTTGAGATCCTCGGGGCACGTGTCGCTGTCGCGCACGGGCGGCCGCGCCTTCGGCCGCCGCCGCAGCTTGCGGATCCAGCGCCGGCGGAACCGGCGGAAGACGACGCCGCGGAACCGCGCCTGCGTGGCCTGTGTGGAAATCAAATATTCAACCCGACTTCAATGTGCGCGTATGCGACGGTTTCGACGCGAGCTCTTCTACCGTGCTTCGAGAACGCAACGAGAGCAATCGATTCGTCCAAAAATCAGTCGAATCGACATCGATTTGACGGAGCTAGAGAGTTCTGAAGTTTGGTCAGGACCACCCAAACCAGTGGTTGAATTCGGCACAGTGCGTGACCCGCACGAGCTCCAGCAGGCGCCCGAGCTCGCGGACGCGCCGCGCGGCCTCGCCGTGGAGCTTCCCCCGCAGGTCCGCCCGCTCCGACGGCGGCGCCGTCGGCACGAAGCCCATCTCGACGTTGACGACGGACGCGCGGAGGTCGGAAGCGATCGTCGCCGCGTCCGAGCCGCGGCCCGCGCGCGGCGGCGCGGCGTCGCCCGCCTCGAAGGAGTTCCGGACAAAGGACCGCGACGCCGCGCTGTGCGTGTCCTCCTCCTCGAGGGCGCCCGCCGCCGTCGACGCCAGCGACGCGTCGCGGCTCAGGCCCCACTTCGACTCGGGCCGTTCGACGTCGCTCTCCGACAGCGCGCCGCCGAGGGTCGGCCGCTCGCGCTCGAGGGCCGGCGCGACCAGCGCGCGCAGCGCCTCCCGGTCCTTGCGCTCCTGCGTCTTGAGGCTCAGGCCCTCGACGACGCGCGCGTGCAGATCTTCCAGCAGCGACGCGTATTCCGCGGCCTCGCACGTCTCGGCCCAGACGTCCACGGTCTCGAAGAGGGAGTCGTAGAAGGCCTCCCGCCCCACGGTGACCGCATCCCCGAAATCGTTGCGGAGCTCGTCGTCGACCGTGCGCCGGACCTCCGCGAGGTCGAAGTCCAACGGATCGAAGAGCGCCTTGCACATGGCCACCTCGAAGTCGAACAGGGTCTCCCGCGGCACGAGCTCCTCGTAGCCCCCCGCGGACGTCGCGCGCGCGACGCCCTCGGCGACCAAGGGGTCCGGCGCCGGCGCCGGCGCCGACGAGTCGTCTTCGCGCAACACCTCGCGGACCGTCGCCGCGGCGACGGCGTCGGCCGCCTTCTCCTCGCGGCGCTTCTCCGCCTCGTGCTTGCCCTTGTTGAGGAATACGGTGAACTTGCCCGCGTGCTTCTCCACCTTCTCGAAGGTCTCGGAGAGCGCGTCGAAGAACGCGCCCATGAGCCGGAGCACGTCCGCGTCGTGGCGCAGCCGCTGGCGCCTCGTCAGCGCCTCGGGCGTGTAGGCCGCGAGGTCGCCGTCCTGGCGGTAGTCGCCCGCGCCCACGCCCAAGGCTTCCACGGCCTCGAGGTTCCGCACCTGGGTCCGCCGCTCCGCGTCGCGGATCGACGACTCCGCGCGGAGCCGGTCCGCTTCGCGCGCGGAGGACCGCGCCGCGGAGCGCCGCGCGAGCGCCGAGAACGACAGCTTCTTCTTCGACCCGCGGAAGGAGCTCCCGCGCCGCGTCGATTTCCGCAGCTCCTCGGAGTCGTCGTCCTCCTCTTCCTCCTCGTCCTCCTCGGCGAACTCGGACACGCCCGACGGCCGCCGCGAGCCCGAGCTGCTCCCGAACTTCCCGATGCCGAGCTTGATCAAGTTCGCCATGTTCGCCGTCGTCGCGAAGCGCTCCGCCGCGGGCTTCTCGCGCGCGAGGTCCGGTACGGGCTCTTTCTTCAGGCTCTTCATGTCCGAGCCCGAGAAGCGAACCGGGACCCCCGGCGACCACGCGCGGACCTCCTCGGCGCGGTCCGGCACGCCCGGCAGCGACGACTGGTCGTCGACGGCGACGACGGACGCGCGCCGCGCGGGCCGCAGCTGCGCCTCCTTGGGCGACGCCCGTTTTTTCAGCGAGCTCCGGAGCGCGCCGGGCGCCCCGCCGCCGGCGCTCCGGATGTTCAGGCCGCCGCCGGGCTCCTCGAGCGACGCCTGCGTCTCGTCGCGGAAGCGCACGCTCGGCGACGACGGCGTCTCGCCGCGCCCGAAGCTCACGCCGCTCGTCGGCGACTTGGGCGGCCGGCGCGACTTGGGCGAGTTGGAGCCCTTCATGGCGCGGGCTGCCGCCTTTGTGCGAGGCTGCCCGGTTTTGGCGGTCGGCGGCGCCGCCGCGACGACTCCGGAGATCTCAAGGAGCTGGACGACGACCCAGCGGTCAGGCCTGCCACTACCGACGACGCTCTCCCAGCGCGGCGCCGACAGTTTTGGTCGCGGTGCTCGGCCGGCGCGACGGAGAGGATGCTGCCGTTTGCGACAAGGGGAGCTTCACCAATCACCTGCCGGCGAAGATGACCAGGCCCGATCGAGAGCTCGCCGGCCGCACCGCCGCCGCCGCCACCTCGCGCCGCGCGCGCACCGTGCTTGCGCCGCCGCCACCCGCATCGCCGCCGCCGCGACGCCGGCGACGCGCACCCGCAAGGCCCGCGCGCTCGCGCCGCCGCGCCGCGGCCGGCGCCGCCGCTAAACAGATGGCGGCGCAGCCGCTGGAGGACACGCTGACGATCACGCCCCTCGGGAGCGGCCAGGAGGTCGGGCGGTCCTGCCACCTCATCCAGTTCCGCGGGCGCACGGTGCTGCTGGACTGCGGCATCCACCCGGGCCGCAGCGGCCTCGACGCGCTCCCCTTCCTCGACACCGTCGACCTGAGCGAGGTCGACCTCATGCTCGTGAGCCACTTCCACATCGACCACGCCGCGGGCGTGCCCTACATCACGGAGAAGACGAACTTCCAGGGCCGCGTCTTCATGACGCACCCGACGAAGGCCGTCATGCGCATGCTGCTGTCGGACTACATCCGCCTCCTGCCGCAGGACGACCGCGGCGAGGGCGGCCTCTACGACGAGGAGGACCTGGCGCGGTGCTGCGACCGCGTCGAGCTCGTCGACTTCCACCAGGTCGTGGAGCACGAGGGCATCCGCTTCTGGTCCTACAACGCGGGCCACGTCCTGGGCGCGGCGATGTTCATGATCGAGATCGGCGGCGTCCGGCTGCTCTACACGGGCGACTACTCCCTCGAGGAGGACCGGCATCTGGTGCCCGCGGAGGTGCCGACGCTCGAGCCCCACGTGCTCATCATGGAGAGCACCTACGGCACGCAGAAGCACGAGAGCCGCGACGTCCGGGAGGCGCTGTTCACGTCGACCATCGAGCGCATCGTGCAGCGCGGCGGCCGCTGCCTCATCCCCGTCTTCGCTCTCGGGCGGGCCCAGGAGCTGCTGCTGATTTTAGACGAGTACTGGAAGGAGCGCGAGGACCTGCAGCGCGTGCCCGTCTTCTACGCCTCCAAAATGGCCTCGCGCGCGCTCCGCGTCTACCAGACCTACATCAACATGATGAACATGCACGTGCGCGACCAGATGGACATCTCCAACCCCTTCAAGTTCGACCACGTGCAGAACCTCGCGTCCATCGACGACCTCGACGACTCGGGGCCCGTCGTCGTCCTCGCGGCGCCGGGCATGCTCCAGTCGGGCGTGAGCCGCCAGCTCTTCGACCGCTGGGCGTCGTCGGAGCGCAACGGGGTCGTGATTGCGGGGTATTCGGTCGAAGGCACTCTAGCAAAACAGATCCTCAGCGAGCCCGACGAGGTGAAGACGCAGGACGGGCGGACGCAGCCGCGGCGGTGCACCGTCGTGTCGATCTCGTTCAGCGCGCACGTCGACTACTTCCAGAACTTCCAGTTCGTCGAGTCGACGATGCCGAACAATATTGTGTTGGTCCACGGCGAGAAGAACGAGATGAGCCGGCTCAAGGGGAAGCTCGTCCAGGAGACGGGCAAGTGGCCGTCGGAGTCGCGGCCGACGGTGTCGTCGCCGGAGAACGGCCAGGCCGTGAACATGCGCTTCGCCCGCGACCGGCGCGTGGCCTGCGTCGGCGCGCGGGAGGAGGACCCCTTCAAGCACAAGCGGCGCGCCGACGACGCGGACGCGGCCCCGGAGAAGCGGCGCGTCGTCAAGTCCGGGATCTTGGTGTCCAAGGACCTGCGGTGCACGCTCTACGCCGACGACGAGCTCCGGGAGTCGTCGCCCCTGAGCGTGACGTCCCTGCGCCAGACGCTGCGGCTCCAGCTCGCGAGCGACGTCGGCGTCTTCCGGGCGTTGCTGGCGCAGACCTTCGCGGACGTCGAGGAAGCGGCGGCCGCGACCGGCGCGGAGGCGTCGCTCGACGTCGGCGGCTGCGTGCGCGTGGACGTCGTCCAGGCCGACGCGGCGCGGGAGCTCGTGCTGGCCTGGGACGCGAGCCCGCTGGGCGACGTCGTGGCCGACGCGGTCGTCTGCGTCGCGCTCCACTGCCAGTCGTCGCCCGCCGCGCTCCTCACGACGGGGCCCTGCTGCGTGCCCGACGCGTCCGCGGCCGACGACCCCCACGGCGCCAAAGACGCCGCGGCCTTCCTGAGGGCGGCGCTCGTGGACCACTTCGGCGACGAGCGCGTCGCGGACGCGCCGGCGGACGACGAGCCGGCGGAGGGCGAGGGCCGCGACCGGTCCGCGTCGAACCTCTCGGCGAGGTCCGACGCGAAGATGGCCGCCGTCGCGGCCTTTGCCGTGACCCTCGACGACCTCGCCGCGACGTGCACGTTCCGCGCGGACGGGCCGAACTTCCGCGTCGACGTCGCGTCCGACGACGACCCGCTCCGCCGGCGCCTCCGGACGCTCCTCGAGCGCGCGCTCGACGCGACGCAGCCCATCTCCACGAAGCCGCGGAAGGGGGTTGTTGGGGAGGGGGGCGCGTAATGTGCTCACGGGTCTGCTGCCCGCGCGGTTGCGCCGCCACGTCACTACGCGAAGCCGGCGGACGACCGCGCGCGCGCCGTGCAGCCGGCGGCGCGCCTCCGGTAGCCCAAAGGGATCGAGTGTGACGAGCGAATTCGTGAGATAAGAGCAGTAGGCGATTAGACACAGAGGAGCGGGGACACAGGCGGGGCGCGCGACCGTGGGGGCCGCGGACCGGCGATGCGAGAAAACGACGGCGGGGTCGGGGCCTAGATGGTCTCGAACCAGGTGAAGAGCCACGCCTGCGTGGAGACCTCCTGGGCGACCATGCCCGCGATGCCGAGCATGGCGAGGCGGCCCACGGCGAGCTCCTGGGCGCGGAGGTCGGCCTTGGCGCCGAAGTTGAGCGGGTCGAAACCCAAGTCGCCGGCTTTGTGGTCCTCCTTGAGCGCCCAGAGCGCCTCCGTCGGGTCCTTGAAGGTCTGGAGCGCCGTGTTGGCCTCGAGGAGGAAGATGGCGGAGACGACGATGGGCCAGAAGGTCTGGAGGGGCGTCATCTGGAAGGAAATGTAGGACGGCGCGTCGATGTCGCCGCCGAAGAGCGGGTGGAACTGCTCCTGCAGCGGGAAGCCGACGGCCGCGAGCATGGCGACGCGCGCGTGCTTGATCTCCGCCTCCTGCACGTAGGGCACGAGGTCCGGGAACTTCTCCTGGCTGAACGGCTTGCCAAACGAGTACGCTAGTCCCTTCGACTGCGCCCAGCCGAAGCCGCCGGGCATCGACTCGAAGGGGTTCGCGACGGTCGTCGCCTTCTTGGAGCCGAATGAGATTGCCGCGGCGGGCGCGAGGAGGAGGAGCGCGAGCTTGGAGTTCATCGTGTTGGTGCCTACGGGTTTCGTGAGTCAGCGCGGCGCGCGCGGCGGCAGCGGGAGACTCTCGACGGGGGGAGGCTCGGGGACGGGCACGCCGACCGGCTCGAGCGCGCCGAGACCGGCTCGGGTTCGCCGGCGGCCTCGGGCGCCGAGACGAGCTCGGGCGCGCCGATGGCCATGCCGACGGCCACGCCGACGAGCTCGACGACGGGCACGCCGGGCGCGCCGAGGAACTCGGGCACGTCGACGGCCGCGCCGACGGGCTCGGGCGCGCCGATCGGCTCGGGCACGCCGACGGGCTTGGCCGCGCCGACGAACTCGGGCTCGACGACGGTGATGCCGACGGCCACGCCGACGAGCTCGACGACGGGCACGCCGGGCGCGCCGAGGAACTCGGGCACGTCGACGGCCGCGCCGACGGGCTCGGGCGACGGCGCGGCGCGTGAACGCGCGCGGCGGTGCGCGGGTGGCGGTGCAATGCACGGGGGAGGTGGTGGGTGGGCGCGGCGGGCGGGTGAGCGGTGCGACGGTGTGGTGGTGCGTGGCGCGCGCGTTGCAATGGCGTGGTGGGTGGCGTGGCGCGCGGCGCGGCGCGCGCGGCGTCTCGCGGCGCGAGGACGCGCGCGGTTGCATTGCGGTGTTGGTAGGGTGGATGGGGGAGAGTGGGGAGAGGTGTCGCTTGCACGAAGCGGGTGGACTCACGTGTGCGATTGCGATGTGCTGGCGGAGAGTGTGTTTCGTAGTTCTAGCTTCGTGGCGAGGCCACCCGTGGTGGGTGAAGCGCACCTCCGTGGCACCGTTGAAGTGATTCAGAGGATGTTGAACTGATTCAGAGCACCACCAGCCGAACCTGCAGCCGACGCTGCCCCAAGCCCTCTCACGATGGCCGCCATCCTCGACACCACTCCTCCAATAGCATCCGCCACGACGCTGAAAGAGGCGCTCATGCGCGCCGGCCCGGCTATGACGTCGGCGAAAGCGGGCCTCATGCCCGCGGACACGACGGTCCAGGTGCTGGCCCTCGAAACCCTCGAGAACGGGACGGAGCGCGCCCGCGTCTCCGGCGCCGGCAAGGAGGGCTGGCTGTCCCTGAAATTCCTCTCCGCGCTCGCTCGCACGCCCGGCCCGCTCACATTGACACGAGAAACGACGGCGCGCGGCGTGTCCTACCTCCGGGGCTTCCTCGGGACCGCGCTCGACAAAAACGCGCCGCTCGCCGTCGTCGTCCACGGCACGGGCTACAACGCCGGCGTCTGGATCCCGGCATTAGAAGAGTGGCACGACCTCGCGACGGAGCGCGGCGCCGGCTTCGAGGTCGCGGCGCTCGAGTGGACGGGCCACGGCCGGAGCCGCCGCTGCCCGGGAGAGGGCGCGAGCGAGACGCGCTACGACCTCGCGACGGTGGGCCGCGACGACGTGCTCGACGTGCTCGACGCGCTGCGGGGCCCCGACGCGGGCCGGCGCGCCTTCGCCGTGGCGCACTCCATCGGCGCGCAGCTCTGTTTCCACGCGGAGCAGCATCGGCCGGGCGCGTTCGCCGGGTTGTGCTGCTTCGAGCCCATGGTCTACCCCGCGCCGCCGCCCGCGCCCCGGGACGCGAAAGGCCCGTCGCCCTTCATCAAGACGACGCTCAAGCGGCGGAGCGCCTGGCCCTCGGACGCGGACGCGCGCGCGTACTTCAAAGGCACGGCGTTCGGCAAGGAGTGGGAGCCAAAGGTCCTCGAGAGCTACCTGGACCACGGGCTCATCGAGCACGACGACGGCACCGTGTCCCTCGCCATGGACCCGGAGACGGAGGCCTCCGTCTACCTCAACAGCGGCGCTTTCGGCGGGCCCGCCGCGTGGAAGCGCGTCGACGAAATAGAATGCGAGGTCCACGTCGCCGCGGGCGGCGCGTCGACGATGTCGACGACCTTCGGGCCGCCGTCGAACGCGCGCCACGTCGCGACGATGAAGAAGATCGCCGAGGCCGTCGCCCGGGGGCTCGAGCCGCCGCTGCCGGACGTCTCCGGCAAGTACGACGGCCGCCTCCTCGTGCTCGACGACGCGAACCACAACATCATCCAGGAGGACGCGGAGTGGACCGCGACCTTCGTCGACGCGAGCCTCGCGCGCATGTCCGAGAACCTCGACTCGTAACAAGGACTTCGTGCGAGGGGTCGTAGAATCAGCGCGCTGCCGACCGAGCTGTCGAGAGAGAGCACTGGCATCCCGACTCGAGATAAAACCGCTTAGCACCCCGCCTCGTCGCACATGGCGTCGTAGTCCGCGGGGCAGTAGAGGTCGTCGGCGCCGTACGCGTGGGGCGCGCAGTAGTTGATGTTGCCGTACTCGCCGAGGAGCGTGCCCTCGCCGCCGCGGCTGTAGTGGCCGTGGAACTCGACGCCGAGGCCCGACGCGCCCCGGGACCAGTTCGAGCCCTCGGAGCCGTCGCCGCCGTCGTGGAAGCCGACGCCCGCGGCCTCGAGCGCGGCCGCGTTCGCCTCGAGCGACGTCCAGGTGTCGGCGCCGTCGGACGCGAGCATCATGAGGCCGACGTGCCAGTCCATGTACCGCGAGAAGCCCTGGTTCGCGCCCGCGAGGTGGTCGATGGCGTCGGCCATGTAGTGCTCGTAGAATTTCACGCGGTCGAGGGGCATGGCCGGGTTCCAGACGGATCGGATGCCGACGGCGTAGTCGAAGGGTACGTAGAAGTCGTTCTCGTAGGGCCCGAGCGGCAGAGTGAACTCGCCGTAGCCGCACGCATCCCCGACCGTCGCCGCGACGTCGACGGATGCGCCCGAGTAGGTCGCGATGAAGTCGCCGAGCTTGGCGACGTCGGCGCGCTCCGCCACGGGCTGAGTCACGTGGACGACCAACAGATCGGGCAGCCCCGCGGAGTTGACGAGCTCGCCGCCCATGGCCATCCAGTACTTGGCCAGGCTCTCCACGGTCCTCGTCGGCACGGACGCGGCGCCGCACTCGTCGGCCGCGTAGGCGCCGAAGGAGCCCGCGTCGGCCGTGACGTTCGAGACGACCTCGACGACGTGGCCCGTGTGCGGCACGACGACGCGCACCGAGTAGAGGTCCCCCGCCCTGCGCCGCAGCGACGCGACGCCCGCGGCGGCCCAGGTCTCGAGGAAGGGCGCGAGCGTCGGCGCGTAGAACGTCACGCCCATGGGCGTCCACGCGTTCCACCGTTGCGCCGCGCCGCCGGGGAAGTGGGACGCCGTCCACTCGTCGGCCCAGTCTTTGACGGAGATGTTCCACATGGGCGTAATATAGGACTGGTAGTAGTGCATGTCCCAGTCCGCGAGGCCCGTGACGATCATCCGCTCCGCGCAGGGCGTGCCGCCGGCGGTGTCGCCGGGCGAGTCGTCGGAGCACGTGTAGGTCGTGTTGAATAAGAAGCTCAGGCCCAGGTTGTCCATGGCCCACGTCGCGTCCTTCAACGCGTTCGCCGACGCGTGCGTTCGTTTGTAGATGCGCACGGTCGTGCCCTCGACGATGCGCGCGTAGTCGTGCGCCGCGAGGCTCAGGGTGGCGCGTTGCGTGTGGCGGCGCAGGGCCGTGCCCGCGAGGGCGGCGAGGCAGAAGGCCGCCGCGGCGACGGCGGCGCGGCGAGCCCCCATCACGGCAGCCTCAGATCGGTGAAGTCCATCGCGTGGTCCAAAAAAAGCGTTTTCGACTTCAGCATTGCCCTTCAACAACTAGTCGAGAGCTGCTCGCCTCCAAGCCGAGCTATATTGCCTGCTCGCCTTCGACCATGCGCCGCACCACGAAGCTCATGCGACGCCAGAGCGACGACACGGAAACGCCGCAGCAGGACGCACCCACGCCAGAACCCACGGCGCCGCAAGACGCGCCGCCGACGGCCGAGGAGCGCGTGGCCCTGGGCCGGTGCCTGCGGCTGCGCGACGCGGCCCTGGCGCAGAACACGCGGGTCCAGTTCCTCGTCGAGGCCGTCCGGAAGCTCGGCTGCGACCCGGGCCCGCTGGAATCCTTCGTCCAGTGCGTGTCCGCGAGCCGCCAGTCGATGGCCATGGTCGGCGGCTTCGCCGCGCACGCGCCGGGCCAGCGCGACTACGCGCCGAAGATCCTCATGGTCGCCGAGCACGTGCCGAACCAGGCCATCTTCGACCGCACGCTCTCCCACGAGCTCGTCCACGCCTACGACCAGTGCCGCGCGAACGTCGACTGGAACGACCGCCGGCACCACGCGTGCAGCGAGATCCGCGCGGGCTCGCTCAGCGGCGAGTGCGACCTGAGCCAGGAGATCAACCGCGGCCGCTTCGGCATCACGAAGCACCACCAGGCCTGCGTCAAGCGCCGCTCCGCGCTCTCGCTCGCGCTCTCCGGCCAGGCCGACCCGGACGCCGCGGTCGCCGCGGTCTTCGACGCGTGCTACGCCGACACGGCGCCCTTCGACCGGCACCCGAACTAAACCGTGGCGGGTGTTTTCGTGTGCTGTGCGTCGTGGGGTGCGGATGCTTCGTCGCCGTGCCGACAAGCTGCAAGTCCAGTCCAAGGCCTAGTCCACCGACCCGCGGCCCCCGCACAGGTCTAAAAAATAGTACACCAGGGAGCAGCCCAGCCGCTCGTGAAGCATGACGCGCCGCCGTCGTCGCTGCCCCCCCGGCCCGACCATGGCGGGCCCGCTGCTCGTCTGGGAGTCCGGCGCGACGTTGTCCGTGCACGGCTTGACGGTGGCGCATTCCGGCCGTCCCATCCAGTGTCGGCTGGCGGCGGCGACTTCAGGTCGTGCGCGAGCACGCTGGTTCGGCACCCCCTGGCATCTCTGGGTTCGGACCCGCGAGGCCGCCGACTTCCGCGTTCGAGGGAGGCGCACGACCGTGCCGCGCTCCATGGAAGCGCGCTGGCTCGAGACTCACCGCGGCGCCCGAATCGCTCGCCGCCGCGCGGCGGGCTTTCAGGGCAACCGCGTGCACGTCCGAGACCCACGGCGCCAGCCTCTGCGGCGTGGGCTACGCCGAGCCCAAGCAGACCTTCCCCGGCGACATCATCTGCCGTACCTACGCCTTCGCCGAAGACCTGGCGCGCGCTGTCCAGTCCCGCGCGCCTCGCGCGCGCGTCGACGTAAAACACCGGCGCAGGTGACATCTACGGGCGCACTCGTCGGTGGGGGAGAGCCGAGGGAGGCGCCGCCCCCCCCCGGGCCGACGGCAGGCCTTTCAGACCACGCCCTGGCCCCGCTTGACCTCCCCCTCCGCTCAGTCGAATCAACTGTGCTTAAACAGTTCATGAGTCAACTGATAGACCATTGATCGATTGGACTCTCTGAGTAGTCATGAACAGTGATTATGGTGGGCGCCAAAACACCCCCTGGCGACCCTCCCGCTGGACCCCAGCGCATCAGGGGTCCGTCCAACATGTCCTCTGGAGGACCAAAGCTGAAAAGCAGCCATCCATGCCGAAACTCGGCTGTGGACGGGCTGCCAAGCACGACGCGCGCCGCGGCTCAAACCTGGTCAACGACCCGAGAAACGCGCATTGGGGACACCCGCGACCGCTTCGAGGCCCTCTCAGACACCCCTCGAGTGCCTCAGCCGCGTAGATCGTCGTCTGGGCCCGGCGCTGACCGCCACGACCACTCGGAGCGCTCGACGCGCACCGCCGGGGCTGCCACGCGCGCGCGCGCGATGATGGACATAAAAACACGGGGGCGCCGGTGCGATCCCATCGCAACAAGGTCCCTGTGCGATCGCACCAGCGCCCCCGTGTTTTTTCTGCACTAGGACCGACATATCGCCCCTCGACGCGTCGAAATGGCCCGGATCCAGAGGCCCCGTTCGCCCCGAAATCGTGCTCGTTTCTCGAGATCGAGAGCGGCGCGTCGAAGATCGCCCACCGGCGCGGCGCGAGCTCGAAGGGCGCCGGGGCGCCCGGCGGACCGAGCCGCCGAACGCGGCCGTCAAAGTCGGGCGCTGCCCATCGGATCGGCTTCCCAGTGCACTGGAGCCCCTGGGGAACTTTAGACCTGTGCCGGTGAATCTAGGTCTGCGCGGCCGACGTCGTGAACCGCACGCCGCGCGCCGCCGGCGCCGGCGCCGAGCGCTGAACGATGGTAATAGCCCCAAGCGAGGCCGCCGACGTGGCGGCCATGGCCGCCGACGCGCTCTCCGACGCCCTGCTGAACCTGGGCCGCCCGTCCGTGAAGCCCTACTGGCCCGGCATCGCGATCACGCTCGCGGCGATCTCGCTCCTCAACCTCAGCGGCGACATCGCCGCCGTCGCCGCCCCGCGCCCCCGGGCGCGCCCCGCGGGCCGCCCCCGCGCCGCGCCGCGCCGCCGCCGGCCCCGGGCCGCCCGGAGGCACGCGCCGCGGCCGAAAGCGCCGGACCTCTACGCGAGCATCGCGTTCGCGTCCGCCGTCGCGTTCGTCGGCGAGCTCGCGCGCTGCCTCCTGGCCCTGGCCTGGTACGGCGCCCGGCGCCTGCTCCGGGGCCGCGACGAGAGCGAGCGGCGGAGCGTGGCGGTCTACTGCGGCTTCGGCCTCATCCCGGGAGAAAGGCGGGAGTGGTCCGGCGCGTCGCTCGCCGGAGGCATCGGCGGCAGCGAGCAGTGCGCGATCCGTCTATCGAGAGCGTTAGCGGCCAGGGGCGAGGCCGTCGTCGTCTACTGCGCCTGCGGCGCGCCGCGCGTCGTCGACGGCGTCCGCTACGAGCCGACGGCGAGCTTCGACCCCTGGGCCGCGTACGCGTCGCTCGTCGTCTGGCGGCTGCCCCAGTTCCTCCTCGCCCAGCGATTGGCGGGGTCGGGCGGGTTGGCCCTACGAACCCAATCCGTGGCCTACTGGATCCACGACGGCGCCTACCTCGAGCTGCTGAGAAGAGGCGGCGCGCCGTTCCTCGCGATCGTGCGCTTCGCGGTCCGCGGCGCGGACGCCGTCGTCTTCCCGTCCGAGGCCATGCGCGCGGCCCAGTACGCGGCCCTCTTCCCGACCGGCGGCGGCGACGACGTCGGGCGCATGGCCACCGTCGTGCCCCACGGCGTGCCGCGCTACTTCGACGGCGGTGAAAACAAACGCGAGGACGGCTGGCTGCTCTGGCCCGTGTCCGTCGAGCGGGGCCTCGACGCGCTCCTCGCCGCGCTGCCGCGGCTCCGCGCGGCCGTGGAGGGCCGCGGCGGCGACTTCAAGCTCGTCGTGTGCCACCACGAGGACGGCTACCACGCGCGCGGCGGCTCGCGGCGCGAGCTCCCGGCGGACGTCGTCTTCGCGGGCATGCTGCCGCCGCGCGAGCTCGCGGCGCTGTACCGCACCTGCGCACTCTTCGTCTTCCCGTCGAGCGTGCCCGAGGCGTTCTCGCTGTCGAGCTGGGAGTGCGCGCTGCACGGCGTCGTGCCCGTCGCCTACTCGCTCGGCGCGCTCGAGGCGCTCGGCGCCGTGGGCTGCCCGCTGGCGCGGCCCGGCGACCTCGACGGCCTCGTCGACGCCGCGGCGGCGCTCCTCGCGGACCCGGCGGCCTGCGCGCGGACGCGCGCGGACGTCGTCGGCCGCGCGCGGCGCGCCGCGCTCGACTGGGACGCCGCGGCCGACGTCTGGCGGGAGGACGTGCTCCGGCCCCGCCGGGGATGTAAAGTGTGATGTTGTGGGTGTCCGTGCGCGTGCGGGGGGAGGCCCGAGTCGACGTCGGGGCGCGTCGTCCGCCTCGAGCTCTCACCGGTAGCTCGCGCCAGGTTAGATCGCGGCGTCTCCTACTTGCGGCCGCGGCCGCGGCCGCGGCCGCCGCGGCCGCCGCGGCCGCCGCGCGCGAGGGGCGACGCGCCCTGGGAGGTCTTGCGCGCGAGGACCTTGGCGCGGTCGGCGAAGACCTTGGAGACGGCCTCCTTGTCGCTCGAGTTGACGAAGAGGTCGACGACCTTGGACGCGCGCTTCGGGTCGGAGCAGCGCTGGCCGAGGAGCTCGGCGATGGCGAGCTTCGTCTTCACGGAGTCGACGCGGCCGAGGAGGGCGACGATCTTGTCGATCTTGAAGAGGTGGCCGTCCTTGTGCGCGAGGACCGCGTCGACGACGGACTCGACGGACGTCGCCGCCGCGAGCACGAGGGCGAACTCGTCGTCGCCGATCTCGCCGCAGTTGGCCACGTACTCGACGCCGCTGAGCTTCGCGACGCTCTCCGCCGTCGTCGGCCCCGCGGGCCCCTCCTCCGCCTCTTCGTCGCCGGACCCCGCGGCGTCGTCGTCGTCGGGCGGGTCGCGGAGGCAGCCCCAGGGCCCCCAGCGGGGCAGCCACAGGTTGCCCAGCGCGTGGGGCGCGGCGAGGAAGTCGGCGTGGGGCGCGTCGGGCGCGTCGCTCCCCTTGAACTCGTCGATCAACGCCAGCAGTTCGCCCTCCCGCGCGACCTCGGGCTCGCGCGCGGGCGCGGCGCCGTCGGGCGCCACGCCCCGGAGCAGGCGCCAGTAGGGCGCCAGCGTCCGCGCCGTCGAGTGGCGGATGTCGAAGACGAGATCCGCCTCCTCGGCGTCGCCCGTGTGGCCCCGGAACGCCGCGTCGCAGTCGTCGAGCGACGCAAGGACCTTCGCGCCGTTCCACGTCGCGTATTTCGCGTGCGGCGGCACGACGACTCGCGCCTCCAGGTTCGGGAAGGCGTCGACGAGCGCCGCCTGGATGCTCGCCACGATGGCCGCGGCCCCGCCCGCGGCGTCGACGCCGGACCCCGACACGTAGACCTCGGCCGCCAGCGGCCGCGCCGCGTCGACGGGCCCCCGGCCGACGGCCGCGGCGACGGCGCTCCCCAGCTCCGCCGGCGCCGCCAGCGCCGCGCCCACGGGCGTGCCCTCGTAGACCGCGAGGCACGACGCCGCCGACGGCGACAGGTCCACGGCCAGCGTCGTCAGCGACCCGCGCTCGTACAGGAGCGCGTGCCGCGCGTCGACGAGCACGACGCCCCGGAAGCCGACGACCTCGAGCAGGAAGCGCGCGAACTCGACGGCGCCGGCCTCGTAGTCGTCCTCGCCCTCGACGGCGCGCAGCAAGAGACCGCCCGTGGACCCGGCGCGGAGCGGCGTCGGCCCGTCGTCTAACGAAGCCTTCTCGGCCTTGAGCAGCCCCCCGAGGTCGAGGGCGTCGCCGGCGGCCCGGCGGCACCGCGCCCCGACCTGCTTGAGCTCGAAGGCGTCGATGGCGACGAGCACGTGGGGCGCGACGACGCCGCCGAGCGTCTCGAGGTAGTCGCCGAACAAGTCGACGGCGCGCGTCACGTCCAGCGCGACGCCCCAGCCGTGGACGAGGGTCTCCGGCGCCCGCGCCGTCGACGGCGCCACCTGCCAGGCCCCGCGCCGCGCGTGGAGCACGAGGATCTCGTCGCCCTCCTCCTCGTCCATCGACTTGGACAGGGCGACGCGCATCTGCTCGAGCATCGTGCCCCTCCGCGGCGCCTCCTCGCCGGGCTTGAGACCGCCGAAGCTCGACCGCCGGCGCGGCGCGCGCACGGCCGTCCCGCCCGGCGTCCGCAGGCCCGAGGGGTCCGCGGGCGGCGGCGGCGCGGGCCCGGCCGGCGGCGGCGGCGCGGCGGGCGGCGGCGCGGCCGGCGGCGGCGGCGCGGCCGGCGGCGGCGGCGCGTCCGGCGGCGGCGGCGCGGCGGCGGGGACGTCGGGCGTCTTCTCCGCCAGGGACGGGTGGGCCGCCTCGTACTCCTCGTTGATGCCGTCGAGGTCCGTGACGTCGTCGTCGACGATGCCGTCGCGGTGGCCCTCGACGGCGAGCGCGATGGCCTGGATCCAGTGCTCGGCGGCCTCGGACGTCGGCGCGTAGACGAGGCGCGTCGGCTCGGCCTCGGAGTCGTCGACGATGTTCAGGAAGACGCCGCCGCCGTCGTCGAAGTCGAGCTCGCCGAGCGCGCGGACGTCCTGCGGCCTCGGCCGCTCGCAGCGGCAGGCGTCGTTGAGCGCGTAGCGGCCCACGGCGGCGTGGCCCCACTTGGGCTCGCCGGAGTAGTACTCGAGCACGGCGACGGGCTCGTCGGCCCCGGCCCCGGGCCCGGCGACGAGGAGCTGGAACCAGCGCTTCTTCCACGTCTTCCGACCGAAGAAGGACGCGCCCTTGCCGCGCTTGTAGAGGTAGCCCGTCAGGAGCGGCGGCCAGGGCGGCACGTCGGCCATCGCTCCGGATTCGCGCCCGCCGGCGGCGGGGAGCGGAGCCGCGACGCCGGCCTCGACGGCGGCGGAGCTCGAGGCGGGGCAGCCCCTCACAGTTTCGAGGCTGCCTCGGACGCGTCGCCGGGGGTCGATCACATTAGGGCGGCCTACTGCCCCCGCGGCGCGGGCTTCCAGCCCTGGGCGTCGAGGTTCTTCTTCGTGCGCTGCATGCACTCGGCCATGGCCGTGTGGATGTCCGGGAGGGCGTTCACGAGCTTGGAGCAGTCGAGCTCGTTGTCGGAGCGCTTCGCCTCGAGGATCTTGTTCTGCTCCTCGACGGTGAAGTTGGACCAGGTGAAGTCCGGGTCGACGTACTTCTTGTACTGCTCGAGGCACTGGTTGTGGCTGATGGCGCCCGGGTTGCAGAAGTTGTAGATGCCCGCGAGCTCGCGGCGGCTGAGCTCGAGCGAGCACGGGAGGAGGTCGTGGAGCACGGTCATGCTGTTGGGGATGTCGACGACCTTCTCGTACTTGCTGATTTTCGTGATGAAGTTGCGCGGCGAGAGGTCGTCGGAGATGGGCATGCGCACGCGGAGCACCGTGAGGTGGTCGAGGTACGCGCGGAGCATCTCCTCGACGAAGCCCTTGGTCATCGAGTAGTAGGAGCCGTCGAAGTTCGCGCGGTCCTCCTCCGTGAAGGCCGTCTCCACGCCGCCGCCGAGCGGGTGCGCCGCGTCGTACTCGAAGATGCAGCCCGTCGCGTAGAGCGTGCAGTGGAGCTTCTTCTGCCAGCAGATGTCCGCGAGGTTCAGGCAGCCGATGACGTTCGTGCGGATCACCGTCTGCTTGTTGAACTCGCACCAGTCGACGTTCGGCCGGCCCGTGACGCCGGCGGCGTTGAGCACGCGCGTCGGCCGGACCCGCTCGACCTCCGCGAGCACGGCCTCGCGGTTCTCGAGCCGCGCGTCGCCGAGCACGACCTCGTCGCCGTTCGCGCGCGCGAGCTCGATGAGCATGCCGCCGATCCAGCCGTTCTTGCCGTAGAGGAGGAACCTGTGCTTGCCCGCCGCGGGCGCCGCCGGCGGCGACAGCGCGGCGGCGACGCTCTCCGTGACGCTGGTGTACAGGCTCGACATTTGCGCAGCCATTGTCGGACGCTGCCACAAGTTTTTGCGAGACGTTTCGAAGACGTGGGATCCACCCGGCCAAGGGGATCTTCAAGTACTTGAAGATCCCCTTGGCCCGGCCGAGCGACAGTGTTTACGCCAAGGTGCTGTACAAGGCTGCCCCGAACACAAACGGGATGATGGCCGACGCCATGTCCCCGCGGCGCGTCGTCGCGGACGTCGACGCCCTCGACGCGGCGGACGACGAGACGGGCCCGGCCGCGACGATCGCGGCGCTCAAGTCGCTCCAGCGGCAGATCGGGCGCCTCGACCGGGATCGCTACGGCGCCCTGAGCCGCGCGGCGCTCCTGCGCCAGGAGATCGGCGAGCTCGAGCAGTCCCTGGAGCAGCTCGCGGGCGCGGCGCGGGCCGAGCGGGCCCACGTCGACGTGCGCGGCGCGACGGCGGCGGGCCTCGAGGCCTGCGAGCGCGAGGAGAAGGCCGCGGCGGCGCTGGAAAACGACGTCGCGGCGCTCCGCGACGACCTGCTGCGGGCCCAGGCCGCCCGGGCCCAGGCCCAGGCGCGGCGCGACGCCGCCGTCGCCGCCGCCGCGGCCCGGCGCGCGCGCGCCGACGAGCGCCTCGCGGCGCTCGAGGGCGAGGACGCCGCGGCCGACGCGGAGCTCGTGAAGCGGCACGCGGCGGACGCGCGGCTCGCGCGCTACGAGAGCCGCCTCGTCAAGGAGCGCGCGCTGCGGGACTCGCTCCACGAGGCCCTCGAGGAGATGATCGCCGTCAACAAGCGCCTCGCCGCGAAGCCTCGCTACGCGCGGCGGACCGCGGCGTCCGCGAAGAAGGCGGCGAAGCGGCCGCCCCTCGTCGCCTTCCTCCGGGGCTGCTCCCAGCCGCCGCCGCGCACGCCCCGGCCCCGCGGCGTGACGCCGCCGCCGCCGCCGTCCCGGGCCTCGCGCCGCCGCTCCCGGTCCCGGTCCCGGCCCCGCCGCGCCGCCGCCGCCGCCTACGACTACTAGGTTTTTTTTTGTGGACGCCAGGAGCACTTTTTATGGATATGCGTCGCTGAGCTCCCAGGGTCGATCGTGGCGACGCCGCGGGAGACGCGGAAAAATTCGTGTTCAAGAAAACGCCCAAGTTGACGCGAATAAAAAACACGCCGAGGCGTTGATGGGGCAGCCCTAGACACGACCATGGCCGCCGCCATCACCCGAGGGGGCTCGCGCGCGCAGCTCTTCCAGACGCTCGAGGAGAAGAAGCCCGAGCGCCCCGCCTGGCTCGAGGACACGGACAGCGACTCCGACGGCGAGGCGCCGCCCGAGGCGGCGCTGGACCCGCGGTCCGTGCCCGAGTACCCCCTCGTGGAGAAGGCGCTCCTGCGCCAGTACGAGATCTGCTCCCAGTGCGGCGGCACGGGCCGCTGCGTCGTCTACAAGGCCTTCGAGCGCGAGCGGCGGCGCTTCGTGGCGTTGAAGGTCGTCGTCGACGCGTTCGGCGACCGCCAGAGTGCGCAGCGCGCGTACCGCGAGGTCGCCTACCTCCAGGTGCTCTGCGGCCACCCGAACATCGGACGGTTGCGGGGCGTCTACTGCAGCGACGTCGGGCGCCACGTCGTGCTGACGCTCGACTACATGCACAGCGACCTCCGGCACGCGATCGTCAGCGGGCGCCTGCTGCCGATCCACCGGACCTACGTGCTGCGCCAGCTCTTTCTGGCGTTGGCCTTCATGCACAGCGCGCGCATCGTCCACCGCGACATCCGGCCGTCGAATATTGTGGGGA